ACACCATATAAACTTTATATTAAAAAGTAATTAAAAATATGAAGAATCCCCCACCCAGGGACCCCTTCCTTCCCAGGAACTGTGCTAGGGCAGGTGGGGGTGGGCCCTGGCCGGAGGGTCCCTCGTCCAGCCCACTCCTCCCCTACGCCACGGCCTCCTCCGGCTGCTGCTCTGGTCCCTTTCCTCCTCATGCCCAGTTGGGTCATGGCCCTCTCCTCCTCTTCCTCCTTGCCCATCAGCTCCTCCTGACGATGGGAGAAGAGAGACGCGAAGAAGATCCCAGCGGGGCTGAGGAGAGAGAGAGAGAAAGAGAGATGGAGCGCTTGTGGTGAGCGTTGCAGGCGAGCCAGCCGGCCACGGCCCCCTCGGCTCCCTAGAGACCACTTGGTTCTTACCTGGAGACCGGCGCTCCCCAGCCGCAGCTCCGCCTCTGGTGGATGGGGCCCCAGGGCCTTCCGCAGGGTGGATTTTGTTGCGACAGGGCAGCCTCCAGGAGGGGCAGAGGCGGCCCCCCTCTTGACACCTTTGAAAACCTGGAAAGGAAGAGACGAGCATGCCATTAGGCCAGCAAGCCGGGAAGGGCTGCCAGGAGGGAGGCCAAAGCCTTTCCACAGATGGATTTCTTTCATTGCCAACTCTAAAAATTGCCATCAGGACCCCCAGTTGATATTATTTCAATTAAAAGCCTTCTGGAACAGGAAGGTTTTGACCTGGCGCCAAAAGGTCATCAGCGTGGGCGCCAGACAAATCTCAATTGGGATCACGGAGAGCCGAAAGAGCCCCCCCCCCCCGCTTTCCCCCGCTTTCAAGAGTTGTGTTTTTTTAAAGCATTAAACGATATACAAATTAACATAGAATGAAGGGCAGATCAGCATTACAAGTGATGGAGTAACATTTAAATTGCCTCTTGTTTGAGAATTTGAGAAGCTAGGTGAAGAGCAGTTTTACCTGACTTCTCTCTGTCATCAATTCTTGCGCATTTCAGCAAATCCGGTATGATGGGGTAACATCCAGCAATTACAGCCAGTTGGAGAGGAGCATAAAGCGACCGTCCAAAAAAGGACTACGACTTTTGTTGAAATCTTCTTTTGGTTTAAGGCACAGATGCTTTTCATTATTTCTTTCTTCAGTTGCATGATAAGTGCTTGGAAGACAGGAGGCCCTGCCATGCTCTGGTCCATGGGGTCACGAAGAGTTGGACATGACTAAACAACAACAACATATATTAGAACTATGTTAAAAGCTTTTATAATATTAACAGTGCAATGAATATAAAGTTGTACCCAACAAATAAGACCCAAGAGTAAGAGCAATTTAAATAACTTGAGAACAGTAGGAGAAAACTCGACATCGACAGCAAAATATCAACAGTCCTCTTAGAAAATATTGCTGAATATGAATTTTTAGAGTGTCAGAAAAATAGAACATAATCTTATTGCCATTTGAATCTCTTCAGTACTTTTTAAGATAGTGCAAATTACCTGTAGAAGCAGTTTCTATAAACATGTTATCCACTTTATAGATTTTGAGGATTCTAATGATACAGCAGTTACAAATGTGAATGAAGTTTCAACAACCATCACTGACTTCAGATGTCTGTATATTTTTCATCTAAATGCATAAAATTGCAGAGCTGATAACTTTCTCAGTTACAAGAAAAAATATCCTTTCAAAGGAACCCAGCCTTTTGACTCTTCAGCATTTACTTAGGAGGCCTTAGTGTAGTTTAAGCACAATATAGTTTTCGTTTTGTGGACAGTATGGGCTGAATCCAGCAGTGTCCTTCTTTCAGCAGAATTGGGCACTACTGTAAACTCCTCGTTCCTCTGTAGCCCCCTGCCTACACATATCGCAATCTGTCCCTGAAGAGTTAGAAGACCCTCTCAAGCAGATGGAGTTGCAAGGGGCTGAGAATGAAATGAGTAATACAAGAAAAACTGGTCTTTTTACACTGTATGTGTCCCAATGCACTATAATCATCACCATCATCACCTTAGAGCTGCAGAGCTGGAAGAGGCCCTATGGATCAAAGTCCCAACTTCTGCAACCAGAGGCCAAAGCCGCTGAGCTTATGTGCACTGGGAGGGCAAACCTAAGACCTACTACGGTACTACTACACCCTCACCACCATGCATCCTGGCTGATGTTACCCATCCTAATGCAGCAGTAAATACAGCTACCCAGGTTTCACAAAATATTACATGGCAACCTCAACTTAAGAACTTAATCCGTTTTGGAATGGTGTTCTTAAGTTGAAACGTTCTTAAGTTGAAGCAAAATTTCCCATAGGAATGGACTGAAAACCAATTAATCCGTTCTGGCTGTTTTTTGTTATGTAGAGGTGCGTTCGTACATTGAAGCATTCGTTCCCATAGGAACTAATGCAAAGCTGGTTAATACGTACTCTACCACTAGGGGGAGAATTTTTTTTTTAACCTAAGATGACCTAAGGTTAAAAAAAGAGCAGGAAAGGTTTTTTTTCCTGTTCTTATCTTGGATTTCTGTTCTCAAGTAGAAGCAAAATTTAGCAAATGGAGCTGTTCTTAAGTTGGATTGTTCTTAAGTAGGGACGTTCTTAAGTAGAGACCCCACTGTAGAACATAAAATCAGACTCTTCCACAAATACATTAAACCCACAACACAGTAATATGCCTCCATCATCAAACTCAACCCCAACCCCACCACCACCACCACCACTACCACCACCACCCACACGCTCTAAAGAAGACACGTCCCTGCAGGAGTGATCTTTACTTCTGTCAACCACCCCTTTGCTCTTTTCCACCCTCTAACAGGAGGCAGGGACCGAAGTTGGAAGTATTTCAGTGGAACCAAGAGCGGGTAATCTCTCTTTGTATATTCAGTGAAACCAAGCCTATATATATGTACACACACATATATATAGGCTTGGTTTCACTGAATATACAGAGATTACCCTCTCTTGCTTTCCTGAGTCCCCCCTTTTCAGTCAGCAAGACAGGAGGAGGAGGAGGAGCGGCTGAAGGAAAGCGGGAAGGAAGGCGCTTGCCTCAAATGTGGCACTTCTGGGATATATATTTATATAATTGAAGGGGAAAAGGCATTCAAGCAAGGTCACACTGTCGCCCACCGTCTCGCAGCCACCACCACCCCCGCGGAGGAAAGGGCGGCAAGTTCAACAGGAAAAGGACGGGCGGAGGGATGGCGGCCTGAAGGGAAATATGAGGAGGCGGGAAAGCTGTCGAGCCGGCATCCTCTTCCCCCACCCCCACAGCCGCCTTTAGGTTTTCCCGCCTGCCTTAACCAAACAACTGAGAGAAAGAAATGAGACTCTGTGGAGGAGTCTCGGAATAAGCGGGATTGCCCGCTCCTGGCCAGGAAAGAGCCTCCGAGGGAGCCTTTTTCTCTTACCTTCCCGCCCCTCTTTCCCTCAGCTTTAAAAATGGCGCCAACTAGTCTTTGGCAGCGGCGGCTCTTCTGTGGAGAACAGAGGCGGAGTGAGGCAGTAGCGACCCCTACAGGAACTGAAAGGAAGTGAAGGGGGAAAGTGGCGGGAAGAAAGTGGAGTGTGATCCTGAGGGGGGGTGTTATTGAATATTCTGTTAGTCAGGCCACCTCAGAAGTAAAGTCAGCCATCCTTCAAAATGGCTTTCTCCTAAACAAATGCATGAAATTGCCATTTTGCAGGGCGGTTCTGTGCGTGTCTCCTCAGACGTGAGACAGTCATACTAGTTCCATGGAGCTCATTTGTGGGCTTGTTGGTTTGAAAAATCAATTTCGTGTCGATGGTTAGCCTGGGTGCCCACGGAAGGGCGGCCACATAACTGGAACAGGATGATAAATTTGTTCCTCATTAGTGAAGCCTGATAAAGGCATGATCAATAGAAGAGGAAACATTGTTGACAAGCTGTGGTAAAGTTGATGGAAAACACCTAGCTTCGCTTGAGTGGCATGAATAGCTCACTTCCCCAGTCCAGGTTGAAAAAAACAACAACACAGGCTGTAAGCTTGTGTTCTGTCACAACCTATGTGCCATTTTAGAGATGGCTAAATGGAAAACAGCCCATGTGGAAGCTACTGAAACAATCATAATCATCAAGTCAATTCTGCTTGATGGAGATCCTTTTTTTCAGGGTTTTCCAGGTAGTGAATACTCAGTTGTTTACCATTCCCTTTTTTTGGGGGGGGGCATCCTGGGACTGTGCAGCTTGCTCAGGAATGTACAGGATGGCCCTACAGGATAAAAATACATTATCTTGTTTCTTTTTGGTACTGGCAAGCATGAATAGGCATGTGTGTTGTGTTTACTATGTTTGAATAGCTTTATGACACTGTTAAAGGAACAGAACATATTGGTAAGAATCCAACCAAGCACTGATACAAGTGTCAGTGCAGTGTTGCAACCTACAATTACTGTAGCAAGTTCCTGATACTTCAGCTGCGTTATTCAATTGGAGACTCATTAAATAGCAGCTATTTCTACTGTAAACTCCGCCATTGCACTTATGCTGGCATAAATATTCAGTTGGATTCTGCGATTAATACTCAGCTGCATAAAAATGGCAAGCTGATAGTTGCTCAATAGTGAACTACTGTATTGGCAGCATCTTCATTGTTGTTAGCCTGCAACATTCCATCATCTTCCACTACCGGACAATGCTATGGGGGGGGGGAGGCTGAGGTGTGTTGCAATCCAGCAAGATCTAGGAGGCCACAAGCTGCCCGCTCTGGCCTGAGTCAATGCAGAGAAAAGTTCCCAATGTCAGTGACAGAGGGTTGTCTCCTCTAATTTCTTGTTGCCAATCACTTTTTGTATTTTTCCTCTCCTTCCTGCTGCAGTTTATATTAGTACATTCTCGACACCTATTTCCTATTGGGAAAATCCTGTAATTGTTTAATTGTAAAGGATAATCTAAAGTGGTATCTTTTTTGTTATTAGAAGTCCACAACACTGAATTCCCATAAAGCTGAAACCGAAGAAACTGACTAAAGACAAGCCATATTGTACGTCAAATGTTTAATATATATGTATATACATTTATATATACAAAGATATGTTTTAAAAGCATAAGCTAATATAAAAACATGTGACCATCCATCCAAGGTGTGAAAAATCTGTATACAAGTAAACAGTTATGTTACCAGGGCAATGTATCTGCACAAAGGATGTTAGAACTTTCCCCTAATAAGCAAAAAAATAAATTTAAAAAATGGAACAGGCCCAACCAGCAGAAAGGACATCAGCAGTGGAGAGCTGCTGGCTTATTCTGGAAACTCAAGGAGAGGATATAAAATCCCCCATCATCCTATCCAAGATTTTTACAACAAATGTCTACAATGCAGAGGAGGTGTGTCACCAAACTTCCTACCTGAACCTCTTCTTTTCACTTACTTCATTTGCAGGATGGGGGGGGGAGTATAATTGTTCCCAGGGGAACCCTCCAGCACACACATACAAGCAAGATGCAGAAGGGCTACAACAGAATTAAATTAAATCTTCTCCAAAAGGCAGCAGCCTAAAAAGTTAGCCATCCCTGCCACCCTAGAAAAGGACATTTCCTGGATCTTATGTGTTTGTTTTTTTTAACACAAAGTACTAAAGAGTCTTGCAGAAGGACCTCACTGCAATTCAGTTGTCCTGAAACAATAGGAAAGATCAGTGCTGATGTTGCCTTGTAAAGTCCATAAGGCTGAGGATTCCAAGCTTTGAGCATGGCCTGGAAGGAACAGCTAACTCATGCATACACGCAGATCGGCTTAGCCACATCTATGGTCTTGCGGCCCCTTTCAGCAGAGCTACAATTTATACGACATATAAGTTCTTTACCAGCTGTACAACAGTTTTTTGTTGGGTGGAATCAAGAGAGTCGTATGGTGAAGCAGGATTTTAAAACAGAGCAGTTGTATCGACAATGAAATAAACCGTCCAGTATGCTAATAAAATGTGGAAAGAGAGTTTTATTCTTGGGAGATCAGGTCCAGATTGGCTATATGCCTTATTGTAGGTCTTCCATGTGGACAGTTCCAAGGATGCTCAATTTCACCCATGTGGGTAATTAATTTCTTCATCTCATTTGTGTTAAGTGCTGTTCCAACCATCACCTGTGGAAAAAGAATCAAAATGGATTACTATGTAACTTTATTTGATTGTGTGCCATGGTTCCACTTTTTTCAGTCTTCTTTCTTCAAATTCCTTTATTTAGGATCTCAATAGCTCAGTGAGCTTGGTACTCGGCTGCAGAGCCAGGTGTTGAAAGTTCAATTCTCTCCGTCTGTTCCTGTGAGAAGAGCCAGCCTGTGTAACCTTGGGCAAGCTATACAATTCCAGAGAATCCCCAGAAGAAGAGAACAGCAAACTACTCCTAAATACTCTGTACAGTGGTGCCTCGCATTGCGACGTTAATTCGTTCCGCAAAAATTGCTGTTGATCGAAAACATCGCAATGCGAAATAAAAAAGCCCATAGAAACGCATTAAAATGCGATTAATGCGTTCCTATGGGCTTAAAATTCACTGTTCAGCGAAGATCCTCCATAGCGCGGCCATTTCTGGTGCCTCTTAAGCGAGGAATCCGTCCCAGAAAACAGCAGGTGGCCATATTTCTTCCCCGGCGGCCATTTTAAAACCGCCGATCAGCTGTGCGAAAATGGTTGCTTTGCAATGATCGGTCATCACAAAGTGAAAATACCCCATCGGGAACATCGCAAAGTGATCGCAAAATCTTTGTCGCAAAGCGATTTCGTCGCTAAACAAAGCGATCGCTACGCGAGGCACCACTGTATCTAGAAAATCCTGGAAAGGTTGATAGTCAGAATCCTCCTGATGGCATTTAATTATTGTTAATTTAAGGCCAAAATCCTTTTCTGCATCTCCACCTGTACTAGATATGTCATCATCAGTGGCATTTCAGGGTGCACACAGCTCACATGCAATGAGGCAAACCTGCATGCACCTAAAATTGAAAAAGGAAGTCTTTAATCCACAGCTGTCTGCTGCTGATGCCATCATTCCCATTGTTCAAGGGGACTGGGCAAAACAGCATTTTGACCAAAGAATATTCTGGCTTTACTACTGCTGGTGACACAATGTAAATTTTTCATCCATGAAAGATCGCAGTGAAATAAATCTATTAGTTTCTAATGCAGCACAACAGTTTGTCCTTTGGTTTCCGCCCCCTCCCTTTGTTTGTTCTTTTTTATTTTGTCAACACACTGAAACAGACTATACAGCTGCAATACTTACCGACTTTCTACATGCTCGAGATGCAAACATCTGTCTTACTCTGGAAGGCCGGCACATAACTCCTGGGCAATCACTTAACATGAAGATTAACTCTTCAATATCTTGTGGGCCAAATGACCAGTTTCTGCTCGTTGGCAAAGAAATGAGCTTAACTCTTTGGGTTACAGGAGCTGTAGGTTTTAGAGCAATTATTTAACAATTATTTCTGCAAGAGTAGGAGGAAAGTTTTACATTTTAACATCACCAATGCAACTATTTATGCTCTATTAAATTGCTAATTCCCAGGTGTCTCTTTTATGCTTTTACTGTAAGAAAGGGCCTGCAAGTGGGCATTAAGAGCATTGGTGTGTGAATTCACATGCATGTGTATATAAACGCATGAGAAGCGCAGATAGTTTTAAGCCTGTCTTCCATTTTAGCATATGCCATTCTGTTATTTTGTGAAGATTAAAAATACAAATTAATTAATTTAAAACACAGGGAGCTGAATATATTGGTAACTATAATGATCCATTAAACACCACACCACCAAAGCTGATGTAGGCAGTCCAGACAAAAGTAAGAATATTTTTGGCTGGGGGAGTGTTTTCCTTTCTCTGTTCATTTACATCTGCCTTGTCCAAAAATAGAAGTTTTACACTTCAACCTTCAGAAGTTTGTGTAGTCCCTCAGAAGAACAGTGACAAAAACTGAAAGTACCATTTTAGATTAAAGAGAAAAAGCATATTTTCTATTCTTCTGTTAATTTCACATCTCAATTATGCTCTCAAATTTCTCTTGGAAGCATTTTGTAGTGGTTTAGGTATCTGGCTGTGGAGCCAAAGGTTGGGAGCTGGATTCCCTACAGTGCTTTCTGCAAAGTAGCGCCAGTCTGTGTAGTTATGAACCCAGGTCCAGGTTGCCCCAGAAGAAGGGAATAGTAAATCCTTTCCGAGTACTCTCCAGGCAGAAAACCCTGGAAAGGGTTGCCATACGTTGGTATCAACTGGATGGCATGCAATTATTATTATAGTAATATAGTAAGATTTTTCATGGTGAGCTGCTTCAACCCATGGTTGAACAAGGATGGCTCTGTAATGCTCAAGTGATGCCCCATATGAATGTCAACTGTACTCCAGGGTGGGGATCACCATTATGGAAGGAATTGCATTAGAGCACACACCTACTGGAGGGCTCCATCCATAAAGCATTGCTGGATGAGAATCAGTGCTCTAAGGCAGTGATCCCCAACCTTGGGCCTCCAGATGTTCTTGGACTTCCAGAAATCCTGGCCAGCAGAGGTGGTGGTGAAAGCATAGTGCAAGAACATATGGAGGCCCAAGGTTGGGGGCCACTGCTCTAAGGTATGAACTGGGCCTCAATCCCATAAATATGCAAGTTGAAGAAAAGCCACCAAAGATCATCACATGCCAGTTCCTTTGTCAGTTTAGTAAGAACTTTAGGCAGCAACTTACCTTCTTCATCAATGACAAAATCAAATCCATTTTTCCTGAAGATTTCCAGATTTTCCATCAAGATACTTTCACTTACAGCAGTTAAATTAAGACTCTGGGGGCTAAAAAAAGTAGGACACAGCCAGATACAGGTATGTCTGGAGTAACCATGACAATAGAATAGACAAGGTACACAATCTATATCAAGTCTGTTTGTTTTCTCTGGAAGCATCCTGACAGTTCATCTCCTCCAATGTGTGAAAATGAGGTTTTTCAAGGGGGATGTTGAAACATCCCTTAATTATTTCCTCACCTCTGTACTTATCAATAGTTATATTTCCCAAATCCATAAAGGATTAAATAATAAAGTCTACCTTTCCACCCAAAGACTACCACATATTAAGCCCGGCATTCACAGAAATTTGGGATAGAAAGATAGTTAAATATTAGTATTTCAAATGCTACAAAATCCATTACATGCACGGTTATTGTTCACTATTTCATTCTAATATATATTCATTTTATTTATCTAAAATATTTTTACCCCACCGTTTTTCTTAGAAGGTCTCAAGGTGGCTTACATCACCAAAAATGCCATATTTAAAAGCTAATAACAGTAAGCATATGATATATCTGGAATCAATACTCAAGGTGGCTTACATCACCAAAAATACCATATTTAAAAGCTAATACCAGTAAGCATATGATATATCTGGAATCAATTTCTCTCCAGAGCATCTTGCTTATCTTTACTACAAGTGTCTCCTTTGGTTCCAAGCAGATGCATCCAAAAAGTTGCACCCATAAAAAATATATCCATCTCATTGTAATTGTTTGATTTCAACTTACTGTTATTGTTCAAGACTTACAGCCCCCTCATCTGTTCACTGTATACACAAAAGCAGCCACACACAGAAAGGTGTAGCGTACTGTTGAAAGTAACAAAGGTGGCAGCAAGTTCCACTGACTGGAAATGGCCACTCATTTCAGGCATTTTATTTTTCCAAAAGACACTTACGAAATCAGCTTCTGCCCTTGAAGAACCGTGCTTTCTTGCAAAAGCTCAAAGTTATATTTCTCATCTGAGGCATGCTGATCAATTATGAAGAGGTCGGCGTCTAGCCTGGCTATTATAAATCCTAAATTGAACTGGCCGACGACATCCATTTTAGCAAACATGTCTTTCCTGTATATGGGGAAAAAAGATAAGCAGGATATAAGATCTGTCATATACTGATGTTCAAGCTAAGGGAATGGACAACTACTAAAGGACTAGGCCCCAATTTTTACTTTAGGCCAGTGGTTTCCAACCTTGGGTCGCCAGATGTTCATGGACTACAACTCCCAGAAATCCTGGCCAACACAGCTAGGGGTGAAGGCTTCTGGGAGTTTTAGTGTAAACACATCTGGGGACCCAAGCAGTTGAGAACCACTGCTGTAGTCTATGGTGAGTTACAACCCTCTTGAATCACCTCAAACCCCAGGAAAGACATTAAAAAGAAAACAAAACACGCCTCCATCCAGTGCTCCTAGAAGCCTCAGAGATGAAATTTGCCACTTAAATGTTACCTCCCCATCAACAGACTGGTGACTAGGCCCAAACTTCAGATTTATTGCTATCTTCCTGGAGCTATCATACTAATTCCATGTCATTAAGTCAATTCCAACTTGTGCTGACCCTTTTCAGGGTCTCCAGGCAGAAAATACTCAGAAGTAGCTTACTATTCCTTTCCTCTAGGGGGAGCCCTCAGACTGTGCAGCTTGCCCAAGGCCACCCAGGCTGGCTCCACTCCCAGGAGGGCCAGTGGGGAATTGAACTCCCAACCTTGGTCTCTGCAGCCAGGTACTTAAGTCACTGAGCTATCCAACCAGCTCCATTCTTAGAGCTGTAACACTTCTGAAATACAAAGCTCTCCAAAACCAAATGAACACTATTTGGCAAATAAAACACAATAAAAACCAAGCGTACATACCTTATTTCTTTTCTTAACTCATCCTCTGCCGTTTTATTTTCCCCTGGACTAATCTTTGCCCGAAATTTTCTGTAACTCAGAGTTTCAGATTTCTTCTTCTGTTGCTGAATTAACTTCCGCACTCTCTCCGTCAATGCGCTGAGGGAGAACTCCAGAGGCACAGTTCTCTTTTCAACCTCCACAGGAATGTCATACGGGGAAAAAACTGCAGCATCCTCAATGTTCTGTGTTCCTGACAAATTCACCTCCTGCGAGACACGCTGGTTGATCTTAAAGCGTTTCCCTTTAGGGAACAACTGGTCGGGCTCTCTCCTGTGACTGTCACATTTTGCTTCCCAGAAAGGCCCACTGGTCTCTAGACCACTGGTCTGAATTTCTTCTTTGAAAACACGGAGTTCTTCATTGGGGGAACTAGTCACACTTTCAGAACTGAAACAACCACCCATTTCTGTGGTGCTTATACTCACCTCTGACTCTGTAGAGACACTACCACAACCAGAATCTGCATCTTCTGCTTCCTTGAAATTTCCGCCAGCAGCCACAGGCCTGCTCAACTCCACCTCGCGTCTCCCCTCAGCTTCCTCCGAAGGAGAAGCCTTTTTATTTGGAGAGCCCAAAGCACTGAAATACGCCGGAAGCTTTTGCTGGCCAGGAGAGCCAAGTGGCCACTTGGTCCTTTCCACGTTCTGAAAAGCACCTTTTTTCACTTGGTGAAGAGAAAATGACTCCCTAAGTTTAGCCACCGTCACGGCCATTTTCGTTTTACTATTCGGATTCTGAGACAACGTCTCACAGGCTGTTGCTGCCACGGAGGTCCCCGCCTCATCCTGAAGCATTGTTTGAACATTTCCTAAAAAAGGCCGAAGAACAACGAACAATTTAAAAAAATCAATTTGCAGAAATATATTAAGAGTCTAATGATGGGCTGAGATGCTCTCTATGTAAAAAAAAAAAAAGAATGACCACACTGCTCCTACAAGTTTCAGTTACGCGCGCCTTTAGTTCACACTCAAAAATAGTAACACGTATGCCCATTGCTCAGCTTAGTAAACTGCACTGGTGTAGGCCCATTAAATCAATGAGGACTGGGGAGTTCAACTTCTCCATACACTTCATTGACTGAAATGGGCCGACTCGAGGTGCAACTTACTTTAGTATATTAAGCCACAGTTAGAGTAGACCCATTTGAAACAATGGAAATCACAAAGGAATTGACTTCCTTAAACCTCATAGCGAATCACATTGCTCTAGGATTTTGGCCAATGACTCTCAAACCTGCTTCCACAGAGATTCTTTGGCTATAACTCTCGAAAGTCCTAGCCCTTAACTGGGCTTCTGAGAGTTTGCGTTCAAAGAATATTTTGGACTCCAAATTTGGGAACCAGTATCCCCTTGGGAGGCGTAATACTAGCAAGACAGTAACCAGGACCTTCCCATGCATTCTGTGTAGACTTACTCCCAGGTAAGACTAATGGGGCCTGCGTTGCTGAAATGGGGCTGCAACGTTAAGCACAGTCATTTGGGAGTATGTCCCATTGAATACAATGGAGCTCAGTTTGGACAGAACATCTGTAAGAACATCACTGAGCAAAAACAGATCCAACACAGAGTTTCCTGCTAGCTTAAGAAAGAATAGAACCCCCAGCATTACAGGAGACTTATTCAAAGAGACAGCTGAGAAGCTGCTGCACTATAAAGGCAAGACACTGGAATAAAAGCAGCCTCTCTCGCCAGCCAAGTTTTGATAAGGCCGTCAAAAGAGTGTTTAGAAAGGAGATGCTAAGTATTTCTTCTTTAAGATTTTTGTTCATGTTTTGTCTATCTTTTCTTTTTCTTGTCTTCAAATCAGTGAGGCAAATGCTCCAGTCCTGTTGACAAAATTAAGCTGATATGCTTGAACCAGTGGCTTAGTTGGGGAATGCACGCTTAAAAGCTTTAAAAAGTTCACACGGAAATTGTTTACTGGCTTATTCAAATAGCTGCCACCATTTTTTACCTCCCACATCTGGCGACGGCTGGTTGATGACAAGCTTGTTCGCATCGCTCCCAAACATCCCCATCAATGATGTTTTCAGAACCGCCAACAGAAGTTTCTCTTCCTGCAGAAATATTTGCCTTTTGTCGGGTGTCACATTGATGTCAACGCGTTCTAGAAGCCGGAAAACAACCACCAAAGAAGTGATACTGCTGGGGGGGGTGGAATGCCCTCTAAATTCTTTGGCTAGAAATACATTTTCAGTCCACAGAAGTCTTTCATTTTCTTACTTCACGGGATAATGTAATGAAAAACCAGAAATGTACATGTTATTTTTGCTGCCTCATTCACTTAGAATTTTAGCTATCATCATGCTTTCAGATCTGAGTGTACTAAAAACACAGAGGAAAAGTAGGTGTTTAATTCTGTCTAAAATATTTTTTTCTAACCACTTCCTGCTCTCTGTGAGCAGTCCTTCCAAAAGGGTTAATTTTAAAACTGAAGCCCTTTCACAGTGCAAAATATATGTGCACACATACATCCCAACAGGCACCTATACACTTATTCATTTAGGATAAGTAGGACGTGGTGACACTGCGGGTTAAACCGCAGAAGCCTCTGGTCTGCAAGGTCAGAAGACCTGCAGTTGTAAGATCAAATCCACGCAACGGAGGGAGCTCCCATCGCTTGTCCCAGCTCCTGCCAACCTAGCAGTTCAAAAGCGTGTAAATGCGAGTAGATAAATAGGTACCACCTCAGTGGGAAGGTAAACGGCGCTCCGTGTATAGTCATGCTGGCCACGTGACCACAGAGGATTGTCTGCAGACCAACGCTAGCTCTATGGGTTGGAAACGGAGATGAGCACCACCCTCTAGAGTTGTACACGACTAGACAAATTGTCAAGGGGAACCTTAACCTTTACCTTATATCCTACTACAATTATCCCCAATCTTAGATAACCCAGATGTTCTTAGACTGCAACTCCCACAAACCTCAGTCAGCACAGCTAGTGGCGAAGACTTCTGGGAATTGTAGTCCAAGAACATCTGGGTTACTCAAGACTGGGAACCACCATCCTGCTTCATCATGATATCTCAAAGCATGATACAACCGCTGCTTAAAAAGTTCCAATCAGACAAAATTATTTTAAAATGGAAAACAATTGAAAACATATTAAGACAATTTCTGCCAACATGGTATGGTTAAACATAGTCAATCTAAAGACTGGAGTTCAAATTCCCATTCGCCATAGAGACACAACTGGGGGTGTGTGTGTGGCACTATTAACCTATCGCTCAACACCTCACATACCTTGAACATCCTATCAGTGTCGTTATGAGCTGGAATGAACTCTGTGACACGTAACAAGACAGTTTAAACAATTAAAAAAGAAAGCATTCACTTTGAAGTAACAGGCTTTTCAGCTCCTAACCTTCCAGATGTGGATGTAAAAAAAATATCTTTACATATTTAATTCAACCTATCACCACCTCCGTTAAAGAAAATCAAGTAGGCCAGGCTAATGTGGCTTCCATCTGTTCATTTATTTTGGCAACTCTTCTTGGAAGAACCTCAATAAGTTACTTTTAAAGAATGTGACTCACAGAATTCCCCAGCATACATGGAACAAACATCTATTACAATCCAGGAGATTTACTTCTAATCATAGTGTTCACTAATCAAAGTGTCATTTCCAATCAGAATGTTGACCTCAAGGGCAATTAACAGCATGCTTTTCATATTTAGCCTCACTTTTTGCTGCAAGGAAAGGCAGGTGACTCACCAGAATCTACACATATATTCAGGGCCACAAATGGATATTGATGTCTATTGTATACGTGATACACTTCATTCACAATTCTGGAAACCTGCAGAAATCAAAAAGGTATAATCTGTGCTTAATGCAGTTCAATAATAAAAATAAAATTTTAAATTTGCCTGCTTCTATGACACTGCGGACAGGAAGATAAACCAGAGACTGAAGGCTGGCAGGAAAAAAAGGAAGCATTAAGATACCGTACAAGTTATTTATTAGAGAGAACTGTACCTTTGCTGAATCACATGGTCTCTGATTAATAAAGAAGAATTGTCTGTCCGTGGAGCTTCTTCCAACACCATGATCACACCGGGAGACGAACCCTGTGATGCTGCTCAAAGTTAATATGTCAAGAAGAAAAGCAGAGGAAAGGCTTAAATAATTTGGCACACATATTTTTTTTAAATGCCGAAATAGAGATTTCTGCAGATACCCAGTTACAATCCACCTTTGAAACTCCCAGAGACTGGAAATTTTCTTCTTAGGAGGCAGGGCTATCTATAGTTCTCAGAATTCCCCAGCCGGCATGGCACCACCTCCTCTTGGTTTTCTTGAACCTCTTGAGCAACAGGAATTATAGGGGTTGAAAAATTAAGACCGAACCAGAGAAACAATAACCACTTGTGAATTTGCTGCTGAATTCCATCCATTTTCCCTTGACCTTCATCTGGTACAATCAGGTGCTACAGCTGGCAAATAGTGAAGAGGTGCCCGAATCTCCCAAAAGGATCGCATTCAAACCCCACTTTTCAAATTAAGATTTTTTTAAAAAATTAAAATTAAGAATTTTAAGGCACGAGGGAACACAAATGCACTTTAACCACTGCACTATGAGACTCAATCTGAAGGCCGATATTTTGACACATGGAACACAGGCGTAGCCAACATCTGTGCTGAGAGGAACACATGGGTCTCAGGGCAAGGAGAAAAGTGAGAAGTTGGACATTTTTCAAAGATGCTCTGAAAAGACAGAACCAATGGGGAGGAGGATCCAATGCTCATACTCAGGGAAAATGCTTGGAAGCTGAAATCTAACAAGGAAGCAGCTATGGAATGAAGATGGCTAAGGCACTATGACAAGTACGTTCAATTTCTACAGAGAGAGGCAATTTCATGCTCAAAACTTTTTTTCTGTCACATTCTCAACACAAACTCTGTTACGTTAAATCTACCCATGACAAGAAACTAACTCTGGCCACCCTTCATGAAATACAAGTAAACAGAACATCTGGATTGCAACAGTAATTCCACAGAACCAAGTCCCTTAAAAATGTGGGGAATCAACTTTCCAAGCGGAATCTGGAATGGCAGTTTTTGCACCGCCAGGGATGGGCAAGTTTCATAACTTTCCTACTTACTCATAAAACTTCATTGGCATGTCAGAAGGATTCAGACCGTATTCTTCACAAACGAGATCACTAGGAGGTAGCTGGACAAAGGGAATCAGGCTTTGCACCTGGAAAAGTAATGGCAGTGAAAATGGAGTCCTTAGTTGCATTAATAACAACATGCCACCAAGTCGATCCCAACATAGGGAGATTCTTTCCCGGGAGGAAGGAGTACTCAGCTATAGACTACTCAGAAGCAGTCAACTCTTCTTCTTTCTTCGCTCTGGGACCATGCTTGGCTTTTTTTATTTGATGTAAATCCACTTTATTTGTAATCCTGAACCAAGCAAATAGGATAAAATATACTTCCAGTCCTATCCCTGCTTACCGGTGAGCAAGCGTTAATGAAATCAGTGCAGGTTACTTCTAAGATTACATTGCAAGTTGCAGAAATTAATTCAAACTGTATGATCTACTGCAGCAATATTTTTTTCAGCACAGACTTCAAGGAAGTCTTTGCAGTGAATCCGGAGGCACAAGAGCATCCTCGACATTGTTAGGTTACATGTTTATAGCCTTCTTTCCTTGTTGCAAGATAGCCAACAAGGGATTTGATCATGTTTTTCCAATGACAAGTTGTCAATTGAACAATCTTGAAAGATTTCTGGAGCCTGTGCTATTTAATATAATTTCTGGCTAGAGATGGATGCATGTATAAGAAAATCTTTAAGCGAAACACATGAAACGTCCTGTCTTGCCCAAAGGTTTCCATCCACCCTCGAGTTGCAAAAGAACTTCTACCGAGGTCCCGAAATAAGAAGAGCCCATCTAGATTTTAATGTTCATGCTTAGAGAAATCTTACAAGCTCTGACTATGCAAAAACAATTCTCTTCCAAACATCAGTGGTGTCAGTTCCATCAATGGCAGTGGAAGACAACGGCGTTACCTGTTTTTGCCCAAACACTGCGCCAATGTTCTCCTTTAAAGTCGAAGCCCCGCTGGTAGACACCACCGGCTGTTTCTTCCCTTGGCCAACCTGATTTGTGCAATTAATTCGCACTCCAGTTGAAATGAGACAATACGCTTGCAATACTTGAACCATTTTTGCGTATTCCTTGGCGGGGAGGGAAAGAAGAAATGGTTATTTTCTCAGGAATACATTTCCCCTTCCCTTCTTCACAGCATTCTGCACCTCATGGTTTCTCAACCAGCCTCATCACAGAATATGTTTTATATATAAATCATACAGTAATAAAGCTAGTGAACGAAGGCCAGAATGCTCTTGGACATTTACACTGGAGTAAATGTAACTCCAAATTGCTACTAATTAACCACTGTTTGATCTACATCTTCTAGGGCATCAAGGAAGTAATTCCCATCAAGGAAGCAGAGACCACTACCCTACATGAAACGTGTTTCATATATATTAATTTCTGGATCCTGCCTAATGAGATCTAAACTTTTCTGGATTGAAACCATCAGGTACAGATGTGGAAAGTTTAAGCTCCCTCCCTATTTCAAAAGTCCACCCTTCCCACGGAAGTGTTCAAAAAAGTGGGAGCCCCCCCCGAGCCTTCAACAGTATCACTGGTAAGCCCCCCCCCCTCTGCTTAGTCTCAGCAACCCTGGCTTTCAGTGCACTAAAAATCCCTCGGAACAATGCCTTATCTAGAGGCTTGAAACAACAGAATTAGCAGACCACTCCACTACCTTCTTTATGTTGCGCTGAAACTCTTTATGCCGTACTGGCAACATGTAGAACAACTGCTGCACGGCCACTGTTGTTCCCTGCTGTCGGGGAAACGCAGCTCTTTGAGTAATTCTCCCATTGTGGTCAAACACCAGCCGGGTCCCGACCTTTGCAGACTTGTGACAAGTAATAATTGAAACATCACTGCAGGAAGAACCATGCCATTTGGTTACAAGAGAGTCACAAGCAACAGGCTTTTCAAAATATACATGCATGTGAGTTTTTACATTTAAAAGGTTTGGGATAGTAGCTGGCAGTATTACATAGCATAAGGTGCAACTGCTATTCAGTCAGTGCTCTACCATCATGCTCTACATTAACCTTGGGACCCCAGATACTCTTGGACTAAAACTCCCAGAAGCCTTCACCACTAGCTGTGTTAGCCAGGATTTCTGGGAGTTGTAGTCCAAGACTTGAAGTTGGGAATTGCTGCTTTACACTGATGAACAAGAATCTTACCTTAAGGCACACAGGGAGCTCAGCGCTTCGCCCCGAAAGCCAAATGTTTCAACACGTGTAAGGTCAGAGAAATCTTGTATCTTGGAAGTATGATATTTCAGAGCTGGAAAAATTTGTAATTGAAGAAGGCCATGAGCACAAGAAACATAACTCAATACTGCAGAGCATAACAAAGGTGTAACGTTCAGTCCATTCTTAGCTGCCACTTAAAGAGTCGCTGTTGTGATTTTCAGAGACTCTCACACACATGCTGGCTTACACAACATTAATTGCCCTCTAGAAATGGATGAAATGCTATGCCTGTTGTTACGCTAAGCAACAGGATTTCTGCCAATGATATTCTAAGCAGCATTATACAGAAAAAGCTAATTAACAATGCATTGTTCTCAGGTCTTACAAGCAAGGGCAGGGTATAAGTTAAAACAATATCAACATCATGTAGTCAGACAAAACACTGGCCAAAACCTTCATAATTTTCGTGCAGCTCCAAAGAGCAAGGAAGGCCAATACCTTTCATGGACCACTAAAAACTACAAAGAGGGAAATCAAAAATTCAGCAAGCCAACTCTGCTGTGTCTGGGTTCCTTCTAGTCGTTCTGTTAAGAGAGACTCCAAACATCTGCCCCACATCCATGTCATGATGACACCCCTTGTACTCCAGATACTCAACAGCTGGCACGTTTGCCTTCTTCCCACCAAGCAACTGCTGGATAGCTCAGTAGTTTAGGTCACTGGCTGTGGAGCCAGAGGTTGGGTTATTATTGGGAAGAAAGGCAGCACAGAAATATTTTAAATAAATAAAAGGTCCCACTCAGGCCGACAATCAGCTCCTGCCTCAAATTTCTCGGGGCAATGAAGCTGACAGTGGTAGGAGACAAGGAAGGCTTTAAACAAGGATCTAGCTGAAAAAGTGGGGAGATACAGAGAGATAAGGACGAGAATGAGAGACAGAGACTAATTCTTTTCTACTTCTCCTACCTAGATTATGCTGTATGGCTTGTTTTCCAACCACCAATCTGAATGTGAAATGAGAAATTAGTTCCGGAAAAAGTGGGGAGATAAGGATGAGAATGAGAGACAGAGATTAATTATTTTCTACTTCTCCTACCTAGATTATGCTGTATGGCTTGTTTTCCAACCACCAATCTGAATGTGAAATGAGAAATTAGTTCCCCAACTACATTGTTGTTGTTGTTTCTATCCAACCTAATCTTACTAGTAGAGTAAAATGGTGAAACATAGCTTACTTAAGCCACCAAAGTTCTCTTCTTCTACGCCATGACCGTTATCAGCAACTTCAATAAGTTCTGCTCCATAATCTTTTAGCTTCACTTCTACAAAAGTTTAAAATATTTGTTAATTCTTTCACAGACAGAACCACAAAGCAGCTCCAAAGCTATCCATTTAATTTCCAGTGTCACCGCAGGTGAAGGGGTTTTATTCACATATATAATTCTTTAAACTAAGGATCAGGAACACTGTTGGTTCAGATGTGATTGGACTATAATTCTGCAAGACCTTGATAGCATAGTCCAACAATATCTGAGAGCTACACATTCCAGATTTAAGCTTCTAAAGCACATGCTTAACCCATTTTTGGCTAGGAGTGATTTAATTACTTTTATTATGCTCCCCACTTGTGCAGACATTCCCCTGCAACTCTATACAGTAAATACAGAAGTAACATGGAGGAGCAAGTTGAAAAATGCCAACTGCTCTTCATCTGCTTGGAAAAAAATGCATACGGAGACTCAACAGCAATCTTACCAATACTGGTTGCCCCAGCATCTATGCTATTTTCCACCAGCTAAAGCTATCATTCTGAAGACATTCCCCTGCAACTCTATAAATACAGAAGTAACGTGGAGGAGCAAGATGAAAAATGCCAACGGCTCTTCATCTGCTTGGAAAAAATGCATACGGAGACTCAACAGCAATCTTACCAATATTGGTTGCCCCAGCATCTATGCTATTTTCCACCAGCTCTTTCACTGCAGTACATAAATTCAGCACCACTTGTCCCGAACAGATCTGGTGAATTGATTTCCGATCAATGGGCTTGATAGCTTTAGTGGGCGGTACCCTTTACATTCAAAATAAAAAGAGAGTTGGGTTTCTAATGTGAAAAGAGATGGAACTATGACTCAAGCAAACAAAACACAATAGTATCATTTGGCAGATCTTTCTAAGAAGAAACATGGGTCCCCTAGAATAAGAAAGAAAAACATGCCATGCAATAACTTCTTATTGAATTAAACCAGGTCTAAGCATGCAAGGGACGTGGATAGCACTGCGGGCTAAACCACAGAAGCCTCTGTGCTGCAGGGTCAGAAGACCAAGCAGTCGTAAGATTGAATCCACGTGATGGAGTGAGCTCCCGTCGCTTGTCCGAGCTCCTGACAACCTAGCCATCTGAAAGCATGCAAATGCGAGTAGATAAATAGGTACCACCTCAGCGCAAAGGTCACGGTGTTCCGTGTCTAGTCTCACTGGCCACGTGACCACAGAAACTGTCTTTGGACAAACGCTGGCTCTATGGCTTTGAATCCACGCGATGGAGTGAGTTCCTGTCACTTGTCCGAGCTCCTGACAACCTAGCTGTCCAAAAGCATGCAAATGCGAGTAGATAAATAGGTACCACCTCAGCAGGAAGGTCACAGCGTTCTAGTCTCACTGGCCACGTGACCACAGAAACTGTCTTTGGACAAACACTAGCTCTATGGCTTGGAAACAGGGATGAGCATCGTGTCCTAGAGTCGGACACGACTGGACTCAATGTCAAGGGGAACCTTTACTTTTAAGCATGCAAAAACTGTACCCTTCTTTGCTAATAAAGAAAATGTTCTTTTAAAAACTATACCGCCGCTATCTCTTAGCCAGCACAAATATTCCACACTTCCTAAATGGACAACTGCCCAGGCAAGTGGCAGTGAAATGTGCTGGACTACCACTCACAACCTTGCGTGAGTTTGGGGTGAGTTTCGGCTAGTCCCAATCTCTCAAGTTTGCTGCACCCCCCACAGGGCTGCTGTAGGGAGGATGAAATGAGATTCTCTTTTTTTGTTGCCCTGAGCTCACTGAATATAAAATAAATAAATCAGAACTCGTCCTTCCTGAGACAGAGTACAATTTGCCCCTCTGCAAAAAAAATAATTAAAAAAAATACTACCAGTAACCAAGCCCTAAACCAAGAACTCTCACTTCCTCCCTAATTAGTGCTTGATCAGATTTTCCAAAGTGGATTCCAACTACTTTCCATAATAACGTCAGAAAAAGAAAAAGCAACCCACTATGTGCAAGCAGAAGAGAAAATTGCACTACCTTGACGTTACTTCCATGATGCTCTTGAGAAAGTAAAATGCAAGAGAGAGAGAGAGAGCTGTTCAGGGAGCGCCTATACACTCCTCCCGGGGAAGGGCTCCTTTTCGGAAATGTAAACGCAATAGGAAAATGGCATGCAAAGGAACAGACTTGGCAGGGCGACCGCCCTCCCCGTCCATCTCAGCTAGTCAGTCAACCCAGGCAGAGGCGCGCGAGGCGACTTGGGGGTCTCATCCTACGTCACCAGCCCGGAGAGGGACCCCGGTCAGCAGCCCACCCAGCGCTTCCCTCCAATCACCGACAGTTTCGAATTCCTGCGCTTCGATTGGCCGACCGGCTCCACCAATAACAAGGAGGAGCGGAAGTGGAGGCGGAAGTCACAACTTTTTATAGAGGTAGGAAATAGTTAGAGGGCTCAATGAAGATTTACATGAGTGTAAACTCACCATCTTTACGAGTGAGGCCACGGGTCTAAGAGCAGACCCATAGACTCAGTCAGGGTTCTCAGAATTGATAATAATAATTAATAATATTCTCTTTTTAACACTAGCAATAGGATTATGACTACAAAGTGGTGTTTTCCAAGATTAAAACAAGATGATAATGAGACCTTTCCCTGCTATTTGAAATAGGAATAGTGTTTTAGTAAAATAATGAACTTTATTTGTAACAGGGCTGACCTTGGCATGGCTGTTTTAATTAACAGAGTAATTTCCACACGTTAAGTCCCGTCGAGTCCAATGGGTTTGCTTTACAGTTTCAAAAAAAAATTGGCTGCAGCTCCTAGGCAAAACCTAGTTTACAGGCTCAGCTTTGCAATTCCCACTCAGATCCCCTGTGCAAAACTACACAAAACCTGCCGGGGCAGAGAAAGGTGGCCACTTAATTTCTTTGCTGGCTGTATTCAGAATTTATAGCCAGAAAAAGAGAGAGAGCGCTTTGTACCCGGAAGCTATGTGTACATGCCCTCTACTATTTCCTACCTCTATAGCTCGCCATTGCTTGCATCAGCTTTTCTTGCCCGGCTTAAGACTGGCGGCTTCTGGAAGAGGGCGGGGCTGATGGAGAAGCTCCGCCTTTTCTACCGGTGACTCCCAATAGAATGAGAGACGTTAGCGCGGTAGCCAATAAGAAGTGAGGCGGGCGGACAACGGAGGCCCTTTTCTCCAATGAGAAGGGGATCCAAGGAGAAGCTCGCGCTTGCGCCCTGCCAGTCGGTCTCGGGCCGCGCCGGGGTGAGGAGGTTGCCGGCCGCGCTCCCTTGCCACGATGCCCATGTACAAGGTGAGGCCCTTTCACGGGGGGCCCGGCGGCGGCGGCGGCTCCGGGGTGCTGGCCGAGCACCTCCCCGCCTGCATGTACCGGGTGCGCAACGTGCACCGTAGCCCCGAGGAGGGCGGCGGGTCCTCTTCTTCCTCGCTGCCGGACCAGGTAGGAAGCAGGTGGGCCACCGCCGCCGGCTGAAGAGGCCAAGCTGGGCCTCGTTCTCTTCCCCCCCCCCCCCCGCCCCCCGGCGCGGCCACCCGCGCCCCTTTCTCTCTCCCTCGCTCGCTCTCACTTTCCAGGCCCTGAAGGAGGCGCCTCCCGAGCTGGTCTGGTTTGCCAACATCTCTGGGTCCACGTTGACAGACGAGAACCGCCCCGAAGCGAATTAAAAAAGCAAAAACATCAGCAGGGCTAATGAGGCAAAAATAATCAAAGCCACTTCTGCATTTAGACGCCCCGCGGAACGGCTGCAACCACGGTCGGGGCGAGGAATGAGAGGATGGGCGAGATCCTGTAGAGTAAAGGCACGCTCACCACACTCAAGACATGCTTGGCACAATCGCAGAAGCCGTGGAGTTGACGGGGGAGTTGGTTTCCCCACCCCGGATCCCCCATTGATTCCAGGGGGGCCTGCTGTCTTTTCCTTATGAGTTTGGGCTCATTCAGCCACAATAAAGGCAATGCGGGTCTTGAGATCATCCTCAGGGATGGTTGGCAAGAAGGCCAGGACTGCTCGGGGTGGGGTGGGGGGCATTTTGTAAGGCACAGACAATTTGCCAGGGGTGGTTGAGGGCATCTTCTTGGTCTCCAACCCGTTTCCCAGGCGGAGTCTTTTTCCACAGGAGGATGGACAGATGGCCAAACGAACAGCGTGCCCCCTTGCATTCATTGTGGGGGAAGTCGCCTCTCAGACCACGTTTTTAAATTGCCCAGAGGTGAGGAACTTGTGACTCCCCAGCAGTGCCAAGATGTTGGGAGTCATAGTTCAACAGCATCTGGGTGGTTGATGGGGAGTTGCAGTTTAACATCTGGTGTGTTTCCCTATCTCTGAAATGTGTGCTTAGGAGGCCACTAGCATCATGCTGCAGAGAAGCCGTAGGCTAGGTACTTGACTCACTGCAAAACATAGGCTTGTGGAAGTAATTCCTGGTGAGGCTGATGATTTGACAAATCCATAAAAGAAAAGTTTAAAACAATATTCTCAATGATTATATACCATCTATCTCCATATGATTAGAAACTTAAGTCTGCTTATGTCCTTTTCCATGCGCCTCCTTGTGACTGTCACAACCTGGAAATGGTTGTTGTGTTTGTTATTGAATGCTTTTCCCAAAGAGACATGATTACTCGTTGTATAAATTTTGTGTGCTACATAAACTGTTTTTAGGCATTTAAAACATTGCTGCTGTTTTAATGTTATACTTCAGCAGCTTTATCTCCTGTTTTATTGCTTTTCTGTGTTGACAGCAACGTTTAAACCTTTGAAGTAAGCAAAATAGGATATTAATAGGCTTTCTTAATCTAGTGTACACGTTTTCTACCCCAGGACCTGCAACATGTTCTGACAAATATGATATACTAAAGAAGATGGGGAGATAATGAAACACGATTGTACAGCATGAAGAGTTATTTCCTGCTAAGTGCAAAAGCACCGTGTTACAGTTTTAAAAAGGAAACAGCCTGGGGCATTCTGAGCCATAAGCCCAGTCAGACAATGTTCAGTATTCCATCAGTGAGATAATTGTCTTTCTTCCTCCAAAGGAAAGAATGCACAAAACAAAGATGGATTATAGAGATATGATGCTGGGCTTGTTGTGCGAGTAAGTGTAGCATATTGTGCAGACTTCCTGGTCTGAATGCATGCTACAGAGGTAACTTGCTGGTGTCCTCAGGGTGGAGTGTTCCAGTAACTGGAGATAGAAAGGGTCTGCTGATTTGTACCTGCTAGCAGAAGCTACACTGAACTAAGAAATTTACTAGTGTTTTACTCATAAGTGTAGTGAGAGTCAACATGATTCTGTTGCAACAAAAGTTAAGTGATGGATATTTTGGCATATCCTACTTTCACTTTTAGCTTATGCTTTTAATTGGGTTTTGGCTGTGAAGCTGAGTCAGATTAAATGTAAAACAGAAAGGGAACTTCTGCCATAAACGCTTCTCATCACAGTAACGTAGCAGCAGGAGTTACTTGTAATATTTGTAGTGGCATAAATCTCTTCAGAGTTTGGCACAACCTTGTTAAGGATAAATCTGAGGCAAACTAAGTTTGTTTCAGTGCAGCTGGTTGTACCACTGAAGAATAGATACTCTAATTCTTAAAAGGAGACATATGGAGTGAAAGTTTTCTTTCTTTCCTTATTTTCTTTTTAAGAGACCAATATTTGATTAAAAGATGAAACGAGATGCATCATTATTTCAGCTATTCAGCTAATTTTGAGCATTTTTTTTCTTGGTTGTAATATATCAATGTCTTAATTTGAAACGCATCAGCAGGTACCTAAGTGAAGTCTATATTGGTGTGCACCTTTATCCATGATGAAGGCTGAGGCTGTGATGAGTGCTAGCATAGAGGCTTGTAGAGCAAAAATGAGGAGTAGTGCCGAATTCTAGGGGGGGGGCAACATTCCAAAGGCAAAAGAACAGGACCAAACATACCAGCTTGTTTGCAGTTTAAATCTGTCAGTAATTTAGGCTTAGGAGAGGCATTTTGACATTTTAGAATGGAAGAAGAACATATAAAAGTGAAGAAACAGACAAAGCGATGTCATGAAGAAGCTTGAGTCTGTCTGGGTGATCCCAGGAATGCCAGATTTGGCCCCAGGGCCTGAGGTTCCTGACCTCAATTATACTGTAAAGTTATACATCTCTAGTAGTGCCATGTGGAAGCAGTTTTGCCAGCATTCACAGAGACATATGATTTTGTTCCTACACTGTACTTTAGTGAAGGCTAATTTCATCTTCTATCAGGATGAAGTTGATCCATCCCTTCAGGCACTTGAATCCCGCCAAGAGGAGATCTTAAAGCGTTTGTATGAATTGAAAGCTGCCGTGGATGGGCTCTCAAAGATGATCCAGACACCGGATGCAGACTTCGATGCAACCAACATAATCCAAGCCGATGACCACAATTCTTTAACTGCCGGCTTTGCAGACCTAGATAATTTACTTGGAAAGGTAAATCCAGATTAACCTTGTCTTAATCTTGTGTTTCCCATCTGGCTGGTAGCTTAGTTTAGCTTTTGCAGAGATCTGTGAAATACGATAATTGGCATTCTTGCTCAAGTTTTGGAAAAATAATTAAGTGAAATGAAACTTAAGCGGAGCTGCAAAATTATCGATAATGTGATCAAAGGTCCAGCATAACATGGATGTCAAAACATCTTCCAGGGCTCCAGCAAAACTAAAGAGTCCCTTAACTGAACCAAGCTTGAAAGGAAGGGCAATATTTGTAGTATGTTATGAATAAACCTAGAAGCTCCATCAAGTCTTGTTTGGCTGCTGCTCCTGGGATAAGCTAGAAAGTTTCCCCAAAATAGGTGTTATCTTGCATAAATCACTGCTATATCAAATATGTAGTGTTAATGTGTATTTTCAGTGTGTATGCTGTATGTTAAATTCCCGCTTTAAGTAAATCAACCTAAGTTGGTGGTGATTATCTCAAACATAGTCCAGCATCCTTTAATAAAGGAATGCCCTGCTTATTTCTTCAACTTGTACTGCATGATTATATCAGCCTTTAGCTGGGAGTCAGATCCAGTTCTTGCTTAACTATGCCTTCACTGCCTAGTATAACAAACATTTTAGGATTTCGATTTGAATGGATTATCCTGTTCAGTTTCAGTTGGCCTTTACAGAGCAAAGGTATTGTAAAATTAAAGCAGAGACTTATTGGCATTAGCATTTATAAAGTTTTAGCCTTTTCAAAGTTTAGACTTCAAGAAGAGACATTGACATTAAAGGATGTAAGTTAGACTAACGTGAGTCCAGCTGATTTCATTGTGTCCATTTCAAGTATAAAATGATTGGCTCTGACACAGTTTTTGTGAAGGGAGGGATTGTTTTCCCTCTGTGCATGGACTTATAGTGCTGGACTTGCCATTCAGACGAAAGCGAGATAAATTAAGGTATGCCAAAGCCCTAAAACAATGAGTATCAGTCGAACAACTTACTAATGGTGATTTGTTTTAATGCAGGACTATGGTGCTCTGAAAGACATCGTAATCAATGCAAACCCATCTCGCCCTCCGCTGTCCTTGTTAATACTCCACAGTTTGCTGTGTGAGAACTACAAGATACTCTCAGCTGTTCATACACACTCATCTGTGAAGAGTGTGCCAGAAAAGCTTCTGAAATGCTTTGGTGAGCAGTCTAAGAAGGAATCGCGTCATAAATATCAGCTGGGCTTTACATTAATTTGGAAAGATGGTAAGTTGGGCCCACTTCTAAAATTACTAGTTAACACTTTCTGTCATAAATATTTCAACAAAGGTGTAAACTTAAATTATAGGCCTAAAATTGGAAGAAATGTATTCCTGTAGGAGCTAGTTAGACATGGATAGCTTAGTGGTTTAGGTTTCTGACTCTGGAGCCAGAGGTTGGGAGTTCAGTTCCCCACTGCACTGCCTTGACAGTAGCTGGACTCAATGACCTATAGCAGGGGTCTCCAAACTTTTTACATTGAGGGCCACACCGGATATTTTCAAAGTTTTTGAGGACCGAAGGAACAGGAATGTGTGCGGACATGTACGGCCACCCACCCATGACCGGATGCCTGCCCCTGCCCACCTGCACTGATGCCCCCCCACAGACGCCTTCATACCATGGATGCATGCACGCACCCACCCCACCCACCCTGCATGCAGGGGCTGAAGGCAACGGGCTGGGAAAAAACAGCAACGTGGGCTGGAGTTTGGAGACGCCTGATCTATAGGATCCCTTCCAGCTCTGCAGGTGTATGATGATAAGATTCAAAGCTCAACTAAACATTTTTAGTTTCCGTGCTGCATTGTTGGGATTATGCTTAAATGAGTGATACTGAAAGGTAACCTTGTCAGTGGAATTGGCTAAGTAATTTTGGGTGTTCTGATAACACTTTCTCTAATGGAGGATGTTTGTATCCATGTACATTGTACCCATTCTTGAAGGAGCATGTGTACAAACTATCACACTGCATCTTTACTACATCCTCCGACTATTCCATTTGCCATTGTGGAATATGGACCCTTATGAAGGTCTGTGTGCAGTTCATTACCCGTGTGCTCTTCTGGATGTGTTTCCCGCTAACAAGCGGTAGCCTCACTGACATTTGCACAAATGGACAGTCTGGGTAATGAATAAAGACAAGCCTTAATAAAGAGAAATCAAAACTACGTAGGACTCTATAATGGTTGGAATATACTGCTGATCTATAATGCATCTGCCTGTTCAAAAGGCCTCATTAAGACTATGATTATCATTTCAGTGCCAAGACCTCAGATGAAGTTCAGCATTCAAACCATGTGCCCCATTGAGGGAGAAGGAAACATCGCTAGGTTTCTGTTCTCCTTACTGAGCCCGAAGCATAATGCAGTTACAGCAACTCTGATAGACAGCTGGGTCGATACAGCCATCTTCCAGCTGCAAGAAGGGAGCAATAAAGAAAAGGCGGCTGTTTTGCGGTCCATGAATGCAGCCCTTGGCAAGACGTCCTGGTTGGTGGGCAATGAACTGAGTGTAGCTGACATTGTGGCCTGGTGTGCACTTCAGACAACAGGGACCACCAATGCTGTTCCGGCCAATGTACAGAAGTGGCTGAAATCTTGTGAGAATCTGGCACCTTTTAACACTGCCCTCAAGTTACTGAAGTAAGCTGATTCTGTGGGGAGGGGGAAGCAGTTTTGAGTATTTTCTACATCTTGCCTGGTGTCTGTGAACCTCAGATGTAAGGCTTGTTGTGTGAATGGTGTTTTAGACATTAACTGTCAGGTTTCATGCCAATAAAAGATATCAGAATTGCTTTCTGCGCGTACTCTTTTTTAATATATATATTTCAAATACCTTTCAGGTTATTTGTATTTTGGAGATAAAATGATAGCTGTGATGTTTTGAGACTTGTTCAGACAGGGTGAACACCTGTGGCTGTCCCCATGGTTCTGGCTTTCAGAGATCAGTTGCACCCAGCAAGGAGGGAGCCACTGCTGCGCAACATCAACTCAGAAGCCACACCTGCCACCCTTAATGTAATACTAACCATCTCTGCTTTCTCTCTTTGGACAAACCAAATGACATGCAGGCACAAATTATAAGAAAGTTTTTATTATAAAAGACAAATCATATACAAAACAATTTAAACGTTTTTAGCTGACTTAAACAGGAGAGCCAAGTTCCTCAGTTCTGTCCCTTTCACTTTTCTCTTGTAAGAGTAACTTAACTCTCTCTTTAAGGAAATTGATTTCTTCCTCTTGCTGTTTCACTTTCTGCTGAAGACTACAAATAACCTACAAAAAATGCAATGATCACATTTAGATTATGTACAAAGTAATATGCTTTTTATGTCTGACCTATGGTGACGCTACGAATAACTGTTCTCCGAGATGGAGTCAATCCATCTCATATTCAGTTTTCTTTTCCTGCCATCTTCAACGTAATACTACTACATACTTATTGCAGAATATTAGATGAGGTAAAAACATCTTTCTCGAATAGCAGTTAAGCTTCTTAGGATCATATACATAATTCTAGTTTTGTTAACTACCTGAGACACAGGTTTTCGCTTAAATGGCTGTATTTCAACAAGGTGTTGCTCCAGAACTGTTGTTCTTCAAACAATGAGATGCAAGACCAACACATTTTCTGTGCAAGAATATAAAACCCAACTGGAAGTTTTAAATGCACAATAAAATATCAACAAACAGCAACCAAAGTTAAGAACAAACACACTCTGGTTTTCCAACTTCTATGTTATCGTCTGTACAACGTTATGGTCCCTTTATAATACAAAGAATCATATGTGAGCCTGGAAGAACAGTAATCAGTACTAAAAGAGATTCTGTATGAAATTCTTTTTAAAATGATTGGTCTAAACACGTAGAGGTTAATAGAGAAAACACGTATAGAAATTCTAATATAAATATTTAAAAGTAGATGATAAATACTGGTACCTAATATGCTTCAAGCACTAAGTCTTGAGACTCCTTTGTTCCTTGAAAAACCAGCTCATATATAACAGCACAAGCTGGAATGAGTTATCTGACTTTTGGGCATATCTTACATATGCAAACTGCTGTCTATGGTCTTTAATTGTGTAGGGCAGTGATAAATTTAAGTCGTGTCTGGGAATGAGACAAAGGTTTGTGCTTATTTATAAAGAAGTAAAGTGCTTCTGATGCTCTTCTACTTTCCTTGCCTTTTCCTTTCCACAGTGACATGATGTGTCAAGTTCAAATGTCAATTAGAGTAAGTGATAGTTTCCTTAAAGATCTTGGGGGAACCTGCTGCAAAGGGAAGGGAAGGGTAGAAACTCTGCAAAGTTAAGATGCAGACACCCCACACACACCCCCGGGACAGGAGGGACTGATGCTCCAGAGAGGAAAAAAAAGTTCCTCTCAAGTCAATTTATCCTGGCATGAAGGTTGGTTTCATTTTTTGAACTGTAGCCATCTGATAGAGATAACTTCCCCAAATCTAGATTTCAACTGCCTGTCACATTTACAAGCAACTCTGTAGTTTTAGAGTGCACGGCAGCTGCAATTTCCCTTCATATAATTTTCTGCATGTTAAATATTGTGTGAACTGTCACAAAGAACTTGAATACTCAGTGAATCAGTAACCAAATCCTAAGTACATCAGATATTTTATAAACGCAGTCATAGTGCTCAGTACACAAGGCTGTCAACTTTACCCTCACAAAGTGTAAAGATAGTATGAGTATACTAAGAAATCCTAACTTAAGACTGCAGAGGTACCTATTACTAAAGGGAAGATGCCAAGGTTCCCTCTAAGGTGTGCGTCTGTGCGAGCATGCGCAGCTCCAGCTCCCTCCGCACATGGTTCTTCCTCCTCCATGTATCCACAGTGATCGTTTTCCAGTCCTTTTGGTTCTGGCCACAATGAAACCTTGCACAGGGGTGGGGGTGGAGCCCTGCCCAGTGGGGCTGAAAATTAGAGGGCACGTTGGAAGAAGACCATCTTTATAAATTAAAAGACAAACTAAAATAGTAAAAACTTACATTTGCCGGACTATGGAAGAGTTCACTTTCAAGAAGTTGAGCAGCAGTTGGTCTGTTTGAGGATGCGACACTGGTTAGCAGCTTAACATATTTAGTCTGTACTGGCCATTTCCTGCTAAAAGAGTGAGGGATCTGGCTCTTCCTTAAGCCCATCAGAACCTCATTCCTTTCCATTTCTGTTCCAAAGGGCTGGAAGAGTTCAAACAGGATGATGCCCAAGCTGTACATATCTGACTAAAGGCAGAAAAAGGAAAAGGTCTCTGTTATTAAAACCTTATTAAAACATCAAATGTCTAAAAAATAAAGCTGTGGCAATTCATTGCATCTCAGGTTCTGCCAATAGCTTAAAGCCAATTTAAGGTGAACAATTGGAGATGACATCTGACGAGGTTAAAAGCTCTGGCCCAAACAACTGTTTTAACTACAGTTATTTAGGATGCCCTGAAAGGAAAGGAGGTAATGCACAGATACGATTTCTCAATTAATGGTCTTTAGTTTTTCACTGTAATTTAAAGACATCATGCAAGAGTTGTTTACACATGAAAAGCTACATAGACAACTTCAAACTATGAACTATTGAACTTATGCCCTCAAAACATTTTTCAAATATTAATATATAGAATAGATCCCATTCTGACTCTCCACACTACATGATCACTGGAACATGTACAAACATATGCCTTTGTTCTTTATTGCCTTTATTTTGAATAGCAAAGATGGGCAACTTGTGGCCCTGACATCCACGTCTTCAAACAGCGTAAAAGGCAAGAGAAGACATGCTCAACAATCATAACTGCATGTAAGGACAGACTTAAATCTTGTTCTCTCTATAACACCTTTAAAAGGCATCTGCAAAATGCATGATCAGGCATCCAGATAGTAGACATGCTCAGCCCCACTACCAAGTGTCCCTACACAGCCTCACTGTCAAGATAACTTGAAAAACTTGCCTTCTGCTTATCAGGTGTTTTAATGAAATTAAATATAATAACTTCTCAGCACATCCAATTCAAAATGAACAAAGAACTTCTCCAAAATCTGAGAAGATAAACATTCTGCTACACTAATGGATCAGTATAGGATTCAGTGGCTGCTGAAAGGCAAGTAAAGAACTGGATAACGCTGCCTCCCTTATGAAGGAACAGCGTAAGAGTGCGGCTGAGCTGAGCTGATGCATCATAGGCCTTACACTGCTCTTCTTTCTCTCTCCTTTTTTAAAAAAAATGAATTCACCTTGTTTCAGTCTCTACGGATCCCATTCTGTTTGTGCCTTAAACACATATGCACAATTTACATTTGTTAACACCACCATTCTGTTTGTGCCTTAAACACATATGCTGAAAGATATCACTACACTCTGAATGTAACAGAACAGGATACAGTGGTGCCTCGCTTAACGAGCGCCCCGTTTAACAATGTATCCGCATAGCGATTTGTTTTTTGCGATCGCAAAAGTGATCGCATTGCAATGTTTTAAATGGTAAAACATCACTTTGCGATGATTGGTAAGCGTTTCGCCTACCGATTTTCACATAGCGATGTTTTAAAAACAGCTGATTGGTGGTTCCAAAATGGCTGCTGGAAAAAATGGGCGCCCACTCTGTTTTTGCGCCCTTTCCTCGCTTACCGGGCAGCAAAAATGGCGGCCGGACGGAGGATTTTCGCATAACGGTGAGTTTTAAGCCCATAGGAACGCATTAAATGGGTTTTAATGCGTTCCTATGGGCTTTTTCGTTCCGTATAGTGATGATTCCACATAGCGTCGATTTTTCTGGAACGGATTATCATCGCTATTGATGATTCCACATAGCATCGATTTTTCTGGAACGGATTATCGCTATGCGGGGCACCACTGTACTCAGAAAACAATTTTTGTTATGTGTTTTCAAGTTGGAACTGACTTACAATGACCCTAACAGGGTTTTCAAGGTAAGTGAGATATTTAAAGAGTGGTTTTACCCATTCCATTCCCCCAGTGAGTACCCACTGAGTGGGGATTCGAACCCTGTTCTCCATGACAATTTAGATGACTCTACCTTAAAATCATAGTGAGAGCCCTGTAGTTGTTCTGGTGAAGCATACAGGCAAGTACCCACTCCAGAAGTATGTATTAGTTCTATAGAAACAAAGAAACCAGTTTAAAATGTTGCATTACAAAAAGTAGCAACCTGAAAAAACAGAATCTTAAATTTCCCGGTACAAAGCTTTATACTTACCATTTATCTTTCTTGCACTTAGCAAGTGGGGTGTATCTTCCTGAATAATATCTCTACATGCCAGCCCAAAGTCTCCTATTTTCACATGGTGATCAGATCCTTGTAGGAAGATGTTTCTGGGCTGTGGAAGCAGAAGAGAACATGCCAGTTACTCATTTCAGGCGCCATGAATACTTGATATATGGCAGGTTCTCTTCGTGTTTCTGTGTCATTTCTGACCATTTCAGTTAATTCAAGAGCTAGCATAACCTGAATTTCAAAGTCGGATTGAGGCTCACATTGGCCACAAAGGGGGTGGGGGGACTCAGCTGCGGTGGGAGGAAAAATATCCTTTCTTGGTCCTCTGCTGTGCCAACCTCTGTATCCATCTGGTGTTTGAAAAGAGACAAGTTACTCCTCTCTCTGTGTAGAGGCGGCCCCATGGCTCCAGCTCCCTACCCAGACACTGCAGGATAAACCACCACCACCCCCTGCTTGGACCACAGGCCACCCCTGGGGATAAAGCAAGCTCAGCTCACGTCATTCACACAGAGAGACACAAGGACGGTCTTCTGTGCCATCTGTGGCTTCCCAGTGTCCTGTGACATCCCTGAAAGAATCAGGTCCAGCTCAATCCCTCCACTGTCCACTTCAGAGAGCCATAAGATTATCCTCTATGACAGAGGACATAATGGACGGGTGGCCCTTCATGTGACCAAACTGCAGCTCTCCTCTGCCCTAGGGAGGACAGCTCCTGAAGAGGGAGGAGTGGGACGATCATCATCACAAAGGCATACAATGCTAAAAAATTTTCTCCAAGCCAGGTGATCCAGTTCATGAAAAGAAAAGGGAATGCACAAACTAACATGTATAAAAGAACTCCCTAGGTTGCAGCTACAGAAATTTGACCTTAGTAATCTATTCTACTGTCTTCCTGTATCTAGATAGCATGCGATTATTTTATTATCCATTTTATACAATAATATGGATAATAAAATAATCCCTTGTTTTCTAGTTTATTCCAACAGATGTCGATCCTTTGCAGGGTTTTTTACATATAAGGTAATCAGAAATAGTTTATTGTTTCTTTCTTCTGGGGATTCTCTAGGACTCAGCAGTTTGCCCAGGGATAAAGAGGTTGGTTCTTCTCCAAAAAGCACAGTGGGAAATCAAACTCCCCAACCCTGATTTTGTAGCCAAGAGCTTCAATTCACTGAGCTTATTAATATGTATGGCCACTCTTGTTCTCATTTCAACTGGTCTCTCTATTCTTAATTTGCTATTTTAGTATGTATAGAATCTGGGATCAAATTTCTATTCATTAAGAGCATTTAGAGGTCAGCCAGTCTTATGGAGCCTTCAGAATGGCTTGAAAAAATGTATTCCACTTACTTTAATATCCCGGTGCATGATACCCATACTGTGGATATAATATACTCCTTCTAGTAGTTCTTGGAAGATTTTCTGTATCCGGTGACTATCTACATGGTGAAACGGACCTTAAAAATGCAATATTTGTTTAAACATTTCAAAATAAGACAACACGAACGGTCCAAGCATATTAAGAAATATGTTCTAAATTTTTATCAGTGAAAAATTGTGAGTCTTGAAACAATGGCTGAAATCCAATAGTAAATCACAACTAGAGTAGATCCTGTGATGGAGTTGAAGCAGTGTGGGATATGTAGTCAGAAAAATGTAAGATGGAGTCAGACAGGTTTTGTGTGAAGATTATTTGAGACACATTGGAATGTGTTTTTCTAAGTGCTATGGGAGTGTTTTTCTGAAGATCTGTACAGCGTGGTTTGAGATAAAGCTGAAGGTCCAACCAAGGGGCCGGTGAAAGCCTCAACATCCCGAGCTAATTGGAGAAGAGATAAAACACCTGGATCTTCATGGGAATTGAGGGTTTAAATCAGTACAATTTAAAGTTACAAAGTACTACTTTGAATTGCAAAGCCCATGTGTCTGTATTTGGAAAGTACTGGGTAAAAGTAAAGTGTTCTTTTAAGGTCAGACTTGTTCAAGGGGCTTACGCTATGCACTGCTGAGGTCTTGGGACTTGCCTTAGTGCAAATTTGGTAGGCAAGTGGCCTGTGGAACTCTTTGACCAAGTACTAAGCGCTCCTTAGGGAGGCTTGTGCACCTCAGATCCCACTGAATCAGTGGGGATTAGGTGGTTAACTCCTCCACAAGTTCCATTGATTTAAAGAGTCTACTCTAGCTGTGACTTACTACTGGAAGTCAGCCAAAATTTCACAGCGTAGATTGCTCCACACTGCTCAAGAGTCACACCCTTCTTAAAGATACATCAGTCCATCTTTCAGTGATGGCTCTTCTGGTGCCTCCTCTGCGGTTAGTCAATATCCTTGGTGCTCATTAGGCTGGGGGCTTTGTGTACTACAGATTCAATCTACTAACTCTGAATCCAACCCATTTTGTGCCCATAGTGTCTTTTTAAAACACAGGAAAGCTTATGTGAAATTTTAGTACTTGGAAAACTTGCAAGTTATTGGATGCCATATTCAAAGAGGCATTCCTTCCCGGAAAAAGGAACCATTTAATTGAACACTGGCTGTTTTAAACTGGCAACAGACTCATTGTTTGGAAAAGTGCACTAACTACTAATAAAGAGAACAGATTCAGCCAGTTTTTCTTTTAAAAATAGTGGATGAATCTTCCTGTTGGTAAATCTCTGGGTGATCTGCAGTAGATTTACAAGGACTTCTGATTCCAAAGTTTTAACAACAGGAACAAATTCAGTCCCTCTCCCCCATTCTAAATTATATTCTTGAAATTAAGTGGAGATAATCAGGAAGATTTTTCTTCTCTTAAGTACCATCAGCTCAGTGCAATTCTAGGATGGATTTTGTGTACTTAGCTTTGGCTTTTAGGACTTAAGTAAAAAAAGTAAGTAAATTCACCAAGCCTGAATTCTGTCCACCCCTGGCCTTTTGTTGTTGTTGTTTAGTCATTAAGTTGCGTCCGACTCTTCGTGACCCCATGGACCAGAGCACGCCAGGCCCTCCTCTTGCCTTCACACTTTCCCAACATCAGGGTCTTCTACAGAGAGTCTTCTCTTCTCATGAAATGGCCAAAGTACTGGAGCCTCAGCTTCAGGATCTGTCCTTCCAGTGAGCACTCAGGGTTGATTTCCTTCAAAATGGATAGGTTTGTTCTCTTTGCAGTCCAGGGGACTCTCAAGAGCCTCCTCCAGCACCACCCCTGGCCTAGAGCATAACATTTAGATGTAAAGCCTATCTCAAAAACAAAAGCTGTCATGAAACAATTGTTAATTTTTAAAAAAAAATATTCTTACTAGAAGCACGTTCCACTTCAAAGCATCTTTTGTTTCTATCCACAATCCAATCCCACAAAGAGATTTCACAGAGTTGCATCTGTATGTGAAGCATCACATGATATTCCATCTGGAAAGAAAATGTCAAAAGAAAAAGTAGAATTTTAATGTAGAACATGTATAAATGCATTTTAGCAAAAGTCATGTAAATCTTTTGAAAATAATAAAAAGCAAAGGCATTTTCATTGATTTAGTCATGTCTACACCACCTTTTCATTCTTATAAGCATAGAGCCAACTTGATCCCACAATTACTGCAGTTTAGCGGACAGAGTTCGAAAATACAAATTCACATTTCCTCCTGCTCCCAAATGTTCACACACAAAAACAACGGTTTCATCTATAAGAGTAATCTAAATAATTTAAAATGAATTTACTTTTACCTCACAGTGCTGCTGCAGAGACATTCTCTTTGGGGAACATTCTTCATCACTGTAAGAATCATTGGTACTCATGTGTTGTTGCTCCTGATTACAGCGAGGTACAACTGATGGATGATTTCCACTGTATCCTGAGCCACTAGAAGTGTTGTTTGGGCAGCTGCTCCCGAGTAATTCATCAAGTGGTGCACTTGCGTCTGTTTTATCTCCTACACTGTCTCTGCCAGCAGAGTCTTCAGGGTCAGCAAATATAATGGAACTGCTATCTTCCATGCATTCCTCTCTGCAAGACAATTAAGTGTGGATCCAAAGAACTGAGTTGGAGGGAAAAAGCTACCAGCACTGTTCCACAAACATTGGTGCCAAAATGTGCACAAGAATTCACACAGTGCTGTACGAAAACTACCTCTGTTTATGATTTTCTGAGGCACACACTGTTGTGTACGTAGCCAAAACAACACCAGTCTGCAGATGTAAAGCAAGTCTTCAGCAAATATCCTTTAAGAGATATTGCTCACTCTGTCCAGTAAGGACTGACCTCACATAACGCTGACTCTTTAGGACAATGGTTCCCAACCTTGGGCAACTCAGGACTGCAGCTCCCAGCAACCCCAGTCAGCACAGCTAGTGGTGAAGGCTTCTGGGAGTTGTAATCCAAAAAATACTTAGGTTACTCAAGGTTCAGAAACTCTTGCTTTTAGGGCAAAAAGAAGACTAGCTGAAAAAGGCAGGCAAAACAATACTATGGAGGAGAGCACAGCCAGCTAGCTAGAACAGTGAACATGACTTGTTACAGCAAATCTCATGCTTTCAAACCTTACTGGAAACATTTTGAAATAATGAAAGGCCATTTTTAACAGTCTGCTTTTTTCACAAACTAGTGCTGCCCAACTAGTGCTGTCATCAGGCAGAATATGGTCTGTACTGTATTCTGCCCAAGAAATGGCTTTGCATCTCCATTTGAGGCAGTTTGTAAATATAAAAAAGTCAATATAAAATAAAAATATAATGGCTACAATAAAGTCTGAACTCTGCTCAAATTTCATTTAAATCTATGGGGCTTAAATAAATTGTGACTTAATTTATACTGGTGGATTTCAATGGAGCTTAATCTGGATTAGAACCACAGACCACATTACCATAGATACTTGAGTTTAATTATTCTTTTTAGTTTTTCTTGCTGTAGTCTGAAACAGGCCAAGTGAGAAGGCACAAAAATTGCCTCACATAACTAGCATATAGAGTTATATTTTCTTACTCATGGAGTTGAGAATCTGACCTCCAGAGCATTCCGCGGTGTGGTCTATATAGACACAGAATGTCTATAGGGACTGTAAAGACACCATGAAGTAAAAAAAAAAACAGACAAAAAAGCCTGTACCCCATCAGTATGTTTTAAAATAGCAGGCTGCAGAAACACCCGCTAGCCTTTGTAGGGTGAAACAATATTTCTTCAATATATTACTCTGTGAAAAACAGTTTTACATACACAGAATTTTCTTGCCTGGAAGACATTGTGAGCAATGGTAAATTCAATTTTTTTTCACCTGTAATTGAATGAAGAGAACATTATAGACACACTGATATGCGCCATAGAACGCCTTCATATAGATACTAAACAAACATAAGACTACAGTACTAACAAAGCAATAAGAGTAGTAATGGTAAAATTAGAATGCATACTTCAAGATTGTAAATATGTAGGCAATTTAAATTACAAAACAGTTAGTAAATACAAATCCTTCAGATATTACATAAAAGTGTTTTAAGACTGTAACCTTCTTAGTACCCTGTTTCCCCAAAAATAAGACCTAACCTGAAAATAAAATCTAGTATAATTTTTCAGGATGCTTGTAATATAAGCCCTACCCCAAAATAAGCCCCGCACTCCACCTTTGTGCAGCAACCAAAAGAAGAAGGATGACATGACTGTATTTGAATAAATGTAGATACTGTACATTAAAAATATTAAACATCCCCTGAAAATAAGCCCTAGTTCATTTTTTGGAGCAAAAATTAATTTAAGACCCTGTCTTGTTTTCAGGGAAACACGGTATACCCTGCTGTCTCTTCAAAACATATGGACTACCAGAAAAGCACATCCCTGTCTAAAAGTTAACGCCCCATTGATTTATACAATAATAATTAATTTACTGTTTTATTTTAACTCTCTTCCTAATAATTTCCATCATCAGTTTCCTTTTTCAGTGTCATAATTGGTCTCATGCTGTTCCCAAAAGAGGAATTGCTGAGACCATCAATTTTTTCTCTCTGGGCAACCAGACACTTCAGGATTCGTCAACATATAAAATGCTGTAGGGCAGTGATCCCCAACCTTGGGCCTCCAGATGTTCTTGGACTACAACCCCCAGAAGCCTTCACTACCACCTCTGCTGGCCAGGATTTCTGGGAGTTGAAGTCCAAGATCATCTGGAGGCCCAAGGCTGGGGAACACTGCGGTATGTTGCAACCTTGACAAAGCCCTACTTAGCTGCGTCTTCATGATGTGGAGGTGATCTCAGATTCAGAAAGGATATATGAGCAAGGTCTAGCAGTTAAAGCTCAGAGAACAACCCCTAAGAAAGAGTCTGTATGTAATCTCAAAATTAGCGTATTAGTATGGAGAAGTTATCACTGGAAGGATGGACACCAGCTGAGGAGCTGGCCACGGTCAACTACACACAGAAGAATGGCCATCTCCATCAGAGGAGGGACTAACACAATGATGAAATCAACAATCTTAAAGGTAAAGTATACTGCAAATTATGGAATCATGGAAGCCACAAAGTTGTTAAGTTATACTCCCCTTTTGGACATGCTGGCTGAACATGTTCCATCCAAGCAGTGTGATACCCCACAATATTAGGATGCTGCAGTCCAGCCAATACTTTCACTTCTCGTAATACCTGGAATAAAACCAAAGATCCTGTTCATATCCCTGGATAAGCATCACCTTTCCACACACACACCAAAACAGAGGCATACTTAAATATTAAACACACAATTCTTATGGCAAGAATTCCAAAAGATTCGTGTAGTAAGTTACCCCTCAAAAATTATTCCAGTGAGAATAAACAATACTGTTCCAGGTGGAATAACAACTTAATTTGGAATTCAGAGAATGTGAAGAAGTATAAAACATGTCCATACCTTCATACAATCTCTTTTGGTAGCCTTCTTAATTAGAATTTTTTTAATTGCATAGAACTGACCATCCAGCTTGTTCCTCACCTGAAAACAGATTGTAAATGTGACATTTATTAGCAAACTGAGATCAGGGATGGCCAAATGACAACTCACCTGTAACATCCTACTTCCAAAAAACTTTGATCTAGCCATAATTAAGACACAGTGATTCCTTGAAATACACCTGTTTAGAATACAGCGAAGGATAATCCAGAATCAAAAAGGAAATTAGGAAATTAGGAAATTAGGAATTTTATCTTCCTCTTATGCATTAGCATCATCTACTCTAACTACAAATATTACTGAAGCTGAGGGCTGGCCTAGTTACTACACCCACAAGCAAGTTTGGGCTATAACTGATCATGAGATCAGAACAAACCTAGCAGTTTGTTCTATATAGAATTAATTTTATATTCTTTATTGAAAGGCTCCCAAAAATCTAACTACAGTATCTATGAATTTGTGACATATACTTGGAATGATCACACACCACATTGTGATAGATACTTGGAATGATCGCACACATCATGGGAAATAGGAGCCATGACAAAACACTGTCATGTTTTGTCTGCAGCACGCTCTTTAAAGCATGGGTTCCACAACCTGGGGGTTGTGACCCCCAAGGGTGTCACAAAGTGTTTATGCTATACACAGTGCTGTTTTAATCTTTTTGGCCCGCAGTTAATCTGAACCACAACTGAAGGCAATATAGAGTTCTCAGTTATTTCTATATCCGTTTGGGTGGATCTTCCTTTTATCCATGTGCATCACTCCTGCCCTTTCCGAAAAAGCTGTTCTCACTCATTTCTCTCCACTCCTCTGCAACCACCTTGAAAGAACTGACATCAACGCAAGCATTAGCCCAGCTCAAAAAGCAAAGCTTGCTGCTTCTATACCACCCCATAGCACTTAAAGCACTCTCTGGGTGGTTTATAAATTAATTATGCAGGCAACACATCCACCCCCCTGCCCCGTGAGTTGGGAACTCATTTCACTGACCTCAGAAGGATAGAAGGCTGAGTCAACCTTGAGCCAGCTACCTGGTATTGAACTTCGGGTCGTGAGCACAGTTTTAGCTAAATGAGGCAAATATACGGTGCTCGTTGGCAACGCCAATGCCCAGGATGGTAGCAGGACTGAAAATTTGTTGCAGCTGCGGCAGTGGAACCTTTTGTTCTGCCCGAGTCGCCTGCTCTTCTGAGTGCAGCAATGGTGGCACAGTGAAGGGCAAGGGGAACTGAGTGGAGAGAAGGAAGGGGGCACAGGGGTGGGTGGGAAGGTGTTTATTTGGGCTTCAAGGTATACGGCTGTACACTGAGGCTTTTTTGGGGGGGAGGAAACATTAAGTGTCATTTTGAGACTCCCAAAAAGAAATTAAACTCAAAGTCTATGGAATTTTTTTCTTCTAAAATTTTATCTGATTTAAAGCTCATCATAATTATGTATTGTAATATTAACATTAATATACAGGAAACATTAAGTGTCATTTTGAGACTCCCAAAAAGAAATTAAACTCAAAGTCTATGGAATTTTTTTCTTCTAAAATTTTATCTGATTTAAAGCTCATCATAATTATGTATTGTAATATTAACATTAATATACAGTATATGGTAGTTTCCAATACAGTGGTGCCTCGCATAACGATTTTAATTGGTTCCAAAAAAAAAACGTTATGTGAAACATCGTTATGTGAAACACCATTTTCCATAGGAATGCATTGGAAACCGGTTAATCCGTTCCAATAGGCACGGATTGCCGTCCTTAAGCGAAAAAACCCATAGGAAACGGTCAAAAATGGTTTAAAATGCTTGGATTAGCTTCTGCACCCTGCAAAAGTTAATTTGGCTTTGATCTGACTTTTCGTTAATTTATGGTGAATTTTTCCCCCCAACTTTTGACAGCTGTCAAAATCTGACAGCTCCATTGTTTCCTATGGGGGAAGAAAAAATTCACAAAAAATTAACGAAGACTCAGCAACTGTTCTAAATGCTTGGGTTCATTAGAGGACCCCCTAAGTCATGTGCAAACCTGATTTGGCTTTGATCTGAACTTTCGTTAATTTATGGTGAATTGTTTTCTCCCCCATAGGAAAGCATGGAGCTGTCAGATTTTGACAGGTCCATTGGTTCCTATGGGCCGGAAAAAAAAATTACACACAGCAATGGGCTGAAGTTAAAGGAAGCCAGATTTTGGTTGAATATCAGGATAAACCTCTTAACAGAGCAGTATGACAGTGGAAGCAGTTACCTGGGCGTTGGTGAGTGCTCCAACATTGGAACATCTTAAAAAGTGGAGACATCACCTTGTCGACAAAGACCCGCATAGTCAAAGCTATGTTTTTTCCCGTAGCAATGTATGGAAGTGAGAGCTGGACTATAAAGAAGGCTGACCGCTGAAGAATTGGTGCTTTTGAACTGTAGTGCTGGAGGAGACTCTTGAGAGTCCCCTGGACTACAAGGAGAACAAACCTATAAATTCTGAAGAAAATCAACCCTGAGTGCTCACTGGAAGGACAGATCCTGGCTCCAATACTTTGGCCATCTCATGAGAAGAGATGACTCCTTGGAAAAGACCTTGATGTTGGGAAAGTGTGAAGGCAAGAGGAGAAGGGATGACAGAGGACAAGATGGCTGGACGGTGTCATCAAAGCGACCAACATGAATTTAACCAAACTTCAGGAGGCAGTGGAAGACAGGAAGGCCTACCGTGCTCTGGTGCATGGGGTCACAGTCAGACACGACTTAATGACTAAACAACAACCAACACTGGAGGCATTCAAGAAAAACGTGGATAATCACCTGGCAGATATGCTCTGATTGTATTCCTGCATTGAGCAGAGGGTTGGACTTTATGGCCTTGTAGGCCCCTTCCAACTTCACTTTTCTATGATTCTATGATATTAAGTTAGAACTGTATATTGAACAAAGGTATTTTAATGTGTTTTCTTTACTCCATCAAAAATGCCTTTTTATGCAAATGTGCCAGGGTGTCACAGGTTACTTAGATATTATAAAAGGGCGCTGTGATTTGAAAATTTTGAAAGAGAACCCTGTTCTAAAGGCTACAACCTATTGTTTAGATAAGTTGCACCATGATTCTGTACATTTCTACACAGAAGTTGCACTGATCTCAAAGAGATAGGAAGATATAGGACTGCAACTTTATTTAGTCTCCACTCCAATACAAATAATTATTTAGAAGATGCCAATAGAAACAACAAAAAATACCTTGTACACTGTTCCGTAACCTCCTTTTCCAAGCCTTGAAACCTCATCAAATTCATTAATGTAGCGAGATGTCTGTGCTTCAAAAATAACTTCATTTTCCCTATTTTTTTGAAAAATATATTGGCACATTACCAGTTATAACAACAAAATGTAAAATGCAAGTAAATGTACTTTAATTAAAACAGAATTAGGATTACTAATCGTACTGTATGACTGCTGTTCATGAAAATAAAGTAGGTAGAAAAATGTATTTTTGAGCATTTAAATAGTAGGAAAAGCAGAAGTAAGCAATATGTGAGCCATAGTCCACATGCAGTCCCCACTCTTTTTTGGAACCCCAGTTCTCTCCAGAATTTTTTTTAATGTTTCCATGCAAACCCCCAATTCTAAAGGGGAGCCTCAATAAGGCAGGCAGGGAGCCTTTTCATGAATTCTTATTTAAACACAAAATTTTCAATTACCACCCTGTTTTCTAGCTATTCCCCCAGCATTTGTCTTCCTTTAAACTTAACTGTTTAAGTAGATGATTAAACCGTGTACTATCTAAGAGCTTAAGTCTTAATTGTTGCTTAAAGAGTCTGAAAGTTTATTAACTATCAATGAATCAGTTAGAATCCTGTTATGCTGCTTTACCTATCACAGCCTACCTAAAATAAGTCTTTAAAAAAGTAGCTAAAGAGAAATCAGTGAATAAATTCTACTTTATTGCTTAATAAATCAGTCTGAAGGAATAAATATTATTTTCATATTAAAAACATATTTTATGAAACAAAAATACAAGTATGTTGTGGAGCTCTGCTGGAGCAGTGGGAATGACTTCAATAGCAGAGGCAGATTTCTGCTAATTAAAGAATTCCTTTTTTGATTGCATATCCTGAAATGAACAAAGGAACTCTGCAATTGACAGTGATGTCCTTCATACCAGACCAGTTGAGTTTTACAGGGAAATACTGGCCAAAGTTTTAAATTAATTAAGCACGGGTGCCTATGTTTGGTGTTGAGAATCCCTGTGTATTGAAAAATTGCTTGCATGTAAGGGGTAATCTCAAAAGATACCAAAAATATTTTTTTAAATTTATAGATGATGAGATCTATGGCCCTGACATGAAAGCAAACATTGAAAGATCACAAGATCCATTTTAAGCAAACAGAAAACTGGCATATCAGAAACAACCCAAACATTACCACAGATCGTTATAAATCTATATCAAGGAGTAGCAGATGGCTACATGTGCACAGTGAAAATCAACACTCCCAGCACATTCTGCACAAACAGCCAGTGCCTTCTTTGTTCATAAAAGGGACCTCCTATATTTCTCCTGGGGATGAGGAGTAAACTCAATGAGAATATGTCAGGATCAAAATATAGTTTTAGATCCTGGATTCTTCTCAGGTCACAATTTAATTCTATTTATTTATTTAAAATATTTTACCCCACCTTTCCCCTTAAGAAGGATCCAAGGCAGTTTACATTATTAAAAGATGGCATTAAAAACTAACAGTGAGTCTACATATACTAAACAGGATCAAACAAATACCACTTTAAAAACACTAAAAGCAACACCAAAACACATTCAATTTAAACTAACCATGGCCCCACAAATGTAAGTATGCAAAACTCTACTTAGTATAAAAATTAAAGATTTCTACCTTAACCTTAGATCCCCAAACTCCCTATGGCTAATTCATACATTTAAATGAATCTTCATGGCCCCACAAATGTAAGTATGTAAAACTCTACTTAGTATAAAATTAAAGATTTCTACCTTAATCTTAGATCCCCAAGCTCCCTTATGGCTAATTCATACATTTAAATGAATCTACCATATGATAAACACATTTGGGTCTTCTTATCAGTTGGGTACTGTACTGTATTTATTTTAATTACAAGTTTTTAAATTGTGTTTTTAATTGTGCTTTTAACTTAATTCTGTTTCAATCCTCAATTTTCTTTTCTGTTTTATTTATTCAAGATCATTGTAAACCCACTTGAATCCATTTTGAGGAAAAAAGACAGGATTATAAAACAAATAATGAAATAAAAGTGTATTAGGAATAGGCCTTAATAAGATTGACAGAACCTACATATGCCAAAATACCAAGTAAAATATGCAGTTTGTTTACATTTTTACAGTAATACTTCGAAGTCTTACCTATTTTTGAATGAACTGCCATTACCAATCTCCTATGAAACACAGGGAAAAAAGGAAAATAGTTTCATGAAACAAATGGCCCCAGTCATAAATCCCATATCTCAATACAAAAATCAGCACAGACTCAAAACGTAGTCCCTTATTAACATAGCATTTCTTAAGAGTGCCACTATGCTGTACTCATCCCTCATTCATATGCTGTCCATCCCTTCTTCTGCTCAGTCTTTCTTAAGCAGACTGATGGAATGGAGCCATTGACACAGAAAAGGCTCCTCTCTGCTGTCTTAAGGGAACACATGGCTTTTAGTGATGCAATCAATCTACCTACCTATCAGTCAATCAATCAATTAATCAATGTGTAGGAACATTTTTGGATATCATTGTTTTGTCGTTTAGTAAATTTACTCAGTACAAGATTTCACTCAACTCTTTTTTCAAATCTGAAAATTCCTACCAAGTATGGCCATGCTTACCCATACAAAACTAGCTATGTTCACAAATGGAAGCACCATTAGACTTCACAGAATCATGGTTAAGGAACGTAGCCATGCCAGCTAGGGGATTTGTGGAACTATGTTTCTCCATCCCCACCCACACCCAAATTAAGAATCTTTCCTATGCTCTGAAGTTTAATATGGTCTAACATTATGTTCCTGTTTAAAAGAAGCATGTTTATGATTAATGAACACTCAGACACACAAGAAACAAGACTGGGGATGATGGTTTGAAGTCTACCTGGAAGCCAGAGTCAGTGTTAAGCACAGTTTGGTATTTTAGCACTTACTTCTTAATTGACTAATGGTGGTAATGGTAACTGCTCTGCTCCTAACAGGTTCTGCACTACAGATGAGGGAACAAACTTAGGAAGCTGAGTGCCGGAAAGGTGGAAAGTGAAAGCAACAAGCAGCTCTGAACCATGGTTTATTTTATTTTGGAAGCTCAAATGCTGTTTTAACACAACCCATGCATATGGACATCATACTATGTCCAGATAAGTTGCAGTGTCTTCTAATTCCATGCAAGAAATATTTTAGTCCTCTTTTTTTAAAAGAGGAGAAGGTATAGCTAGAGCAACTTTATGACATGCACAGAAATAATTTCCATTATTCTTTGTCTGCAGAAGTAGACATAAAAGAAACCCATGGCAGATGTGAGATATGTACCAGTGCCGCTTTTATGCTGATGCTGACAAGGAGATTGAGTAAGGATAAATACACTCACCTCCTTCAGTATTTGGTTGTTTGCTGCTTTCATGAGTGTAGCAATGGCCCGATTATGCTGCAGTCTCAGACTACTAAATTCTTCACGGACAGCCAAATCAGAAAGCAAGTGCATTTTAGTAAATGTCTTACATAGTACTGTATGAAAAAGAAAGTCAGAGAAAAATATATTTTAAAACATCTATGCATCCCAACTTTGACTAGCATTCAGAGGATTAAAAAGCCAATATAATTTTTCATACCTTTGTCCTGCTCAAATATAATTTTATTTTAAGTCACCTTTAATGGTAAGCCTCCTTCTAATGGAGTGCTCCTGAAGAAAATATGAACACCAAATATTTAAAGGTGGAAAACCTCTTGAAAATAATAATTTTAAAAGCATCCAGGTCCCAATATACTAAAATCCAATAAATAACTACACATAAAATTTACAAGTTGTTGAATTAAATACAATTCAAGAAAGAAAGTAGAAAAACTATGGGTTCTTATGACTTTCTATGGGAGAACTCAACACAGCCCCTTAGGGACTTAATGAAGGGATATATTTTCTGCTTTTGTTGTACCACTGCCCCCATAGTCTTGCAGACTTTTACTTGTAGGATAGCATTCTCATACAGTCCCTAGATTCTCCAAAGCACCCTAGGATCTATATTCAAGGATTTCAATTTGCTCCAAAGATGCAATCACAATATGGAGTCAAAGGGTGCTTTAAAGTCTACAAAAGCTACAGTAAGTGAATTGGGCAGGAAAGATGTATATTTTTCCACAAAGTTATAAAAAAATCATTATTTTAAGAGAGCTAATTTTTACACACTACTGTAAAACCATGACTGAGGGAAGCTCTTAAAACACATGCTAAGTTGCAAGAAACTGAATACCCACAGCATCCATTTATTGGGGGGTGAAAAAGAGTAAAGATTAAAACAGAATTAACAGCACAGTTAAATTTGGACAAATTAAGCTCCAATACAGGTCAATGGATGTGCGAGCCTAAAAGTGCACTTATTCATATCCACTGTATTCAACATTTACCCTATTAAGCAGGGTTGAACACTTATGTGATTAATTTTTATTATCTACATCCTTACCTATTTTAAGTTTATAATAAAACTGAAATAAAATATCCTCATTCTTCAACCTTCATCCTCTTTAAGAACTAAACAAGTATCACCCTACCATGCCAGATCATCAAGTTCTTACTAACATTCAAATAAGCGTCGTGAACGTGCAGGATCTTGTTCATACACATGACAAAGATGTTCCAGCATCGAAACAAGCAAAAGCTGGTTTGCAAACGAAGATGTGATGTTCATTATTTTTTGGGAATCATTTGCCCCTCGAACCTCTGTTGGACAATCAGAATCTGAAAAAGAAAGAGCAAAAATTGAAGCTGGAGAAATTTTGATAATGTTTTTCCCTGAACATATAGAATGAAACAAAATGTACTCCTTAGCTGCCTAAATTTTATGGAATTAAATAATTGCCATTTATTTACTTACACTTTACACCCTACTAGTGCCAGAATGCTATTCCGCAGCAATATCAAGTGGACAATGTGACTCATAGTTATAATTTAAACAACATATACAAACACAAATAGCCGGTAGGCAAAATCTCTTGTTCTCATTAAAAAAATAAGGCATGGAAAATAGGACAGATGGTATGCAACAATTGAGAATCTATCAGCTCTACCATTTTATGATTTTATGGCCTGAATTCAGTTGCTTAACATTTGTAAGTCACAAATAAAATAGACCCACAGAATCAGTAGGGATTCAGTGGTCAAATCTTCCTTAAGTACCATGGATTGAATGGGCCTACTCCAGTTGCAACTTACTCAGAATTTCAGCCACTGATTCTATGAAAGCAATTACTGTATGCTTTGTTTGTACTATAAGAAGATGCAGATCCCACTGGGGTCACTTATATATTAGGGTGTTTACTTATTCCAGCCTTCTCTGTCTTATATGTTTCATGTTCCCTACTCTGTCCTGTCTGAAGATGATGCGAGCTATAGTGCTACAAATCCAGAGAGCGTGATGAAATATGATGTCTGTGAATACCAAGTATTTCCTCACAGAGCAGTCCTCTGGCCATTTTATCTTTATAGCACCCTTTAGAGACTGGTTAGGCTGAAAGAAATTGCTGAATTAAGAGGCCACCAAGTGCATTGATCTTCATGGCACAATGGACATTTGAACATCATATCCATTATTACACATTCTAATATTATAAGGCAATCTAGTTTCACATAACATTTAAAAAATAGCACTCAAGACAGATTTATCAGGAAAATGTTCCAAAACCCAGATCTGTAAGCATGCAGGAATGATAAATTCTCTTGTTTTAAAAGCACACAAACATGATCTTTATACACCTGTTATTACTATTTCTGCCCCATGTTACCACTATTAGGTAACATTCAACAAAATTTAAAAGCAGTATAAAACATAATTAAAAACAAGTCAGTGAAAACAAACTCAATCATCATAAAATATTAAATACAAAACAAAATACAAATTTAAACTTTATGAATAGTTTAAAATCAATTTAACAAATTAATGGATACTGTAAGTTCATGTAAACAGATGAGCCTTCACACCCATTTTTAAGAGGAGTGCTTTCCACAGCTGGTGGGCTGTGCAGGATACCCATCTAGTGGCCACCTGCAGTTCTTAGTATTCTTTAATATGTCTCTTCCTAAAAATCGTATAATCCAGCCATGTTCATAACAAGACAGCCAGGCCCTTGGAGAGCCAAATTCCAAGTCGTTTAGGGTTCCTAAGGTTAAAACTAGCACTATGAATTTAGCCTTGTCAGCAACTGGCAAACAGCACAGGTTTTTCAGTATCTGGTCATATGATCTTAATTCTGTCACATGCAGTAGTAGACAACCTTGATGCCACATATTGCATCAACTGAGGATCTCTTGACATTGTTCAAGTGTGGCCCACCTAGAGTGCACTGCAACAGTCAAAATACACTGTAACTAAGGCATGGATAACTGCATGTATGATTATTGCACAACTCATGAACAGTACACACATTCTCTGAAGTACCGTTGTTATTCAGCCATAAAATAAACACTGCCTGGTGTTTATTTTTCCTTGTGTTAAATTGATATATTAAGCTGAGGTACGCTTGCACAAAGATCAGGAAAATTAAATAAAAACACAGATAACATAACATGAAGATGTATAAATAAGAAATAAGATTAAATTTCACCTAATAAAATAATACCTCATAGTAAGGAATTAATGTGGTAATCACATGAAGAACATTGTGTGAGATAATCCTACAGGCCCAAAATCTTTGGTGGGAGACTATCTACATTCTATATATCAATTCTTGAGGTATTTAAAGCATTTCTTCATACAGTAAATATAGAAAGACATGGCCAAAGCTATTCAATCACCAGGTTCAGCTAGAGATATCATGTGACTGAAGATGATGCAATTACATAGTAACCAAAAGCCATAGAAAGTCACAAGGTAAGTTTGTGGAAATTATGAAACTGCCTCCTAGTTCATGTTGCCTCAAGGAGAAAAAGACTGAGCCAACAACACAACTGTTTGGCCATACAAATTCCTCCAGTCTTAACACGGATGATTAAACAGTTTGACTTGTCTAACTCTAATAAAAGGAGAAAAGGATGGTACCAGAAAATATCCAGGGCAGAAGAAACAAAAATTCCATGTCAAAATCAGCCCCTTTATCAGGAATGCTTAACTAAAAAAAAACCACTGGAGTAAAGGAAATTATATTCCCAGTATGTCTGAACATTACCTACTAGCAGATTTCATGGCTAGCAGATTACCTTTGTTTGACCAGCCCTTGAGAAATTATTGGGTAACACACCACTAAAATAGCCCTGCATGCTAAATAATATAACAACTCTCTTGTGAGAGCACAAATCCTCTCCCCTGCTACCGTATTATTTTCTTTTTCTTCTCTCTCTCTCTCTGTTTGTATTTTAAAACATCTGCCCAGAAATCCTGAACCACTGGACAATCCGGCTAGTGCTAGTGCTCTGCTTTTACCTGTAAATAAATTTGATGGGGTATTTTAAAAAGGCATCCTTTTCACAATCCACCTGCTGCCTAAAGTTACAGAAGCCATTTTACCAGCTCATTCTGTTGCTAGTACAAACCAAAGTAATCATAATTGACAGGATTTTAAAATTTATTTTGCAAGGGAAAAGGTCTGCTGAGCTGGGACAGTGGACTGAAACACAAAAGGCTAGGAGTTTGAATCCTCAGTGTACCTCCTGAAGAGGGACCAACCAAAATCAACCAGAGTGGCTGATGGATTTGTGTCCTTCCACATATATATTGCCTTGGATAAATTGTTTGAATTCAGAGTGCCATCAGAAAGCGGGACTGCCAAAATACTTCTGAGTATCTTTATACTTAGAAAACCCTAGGAGGATCGCCTTCAGTCAGAATCTACTTGATAGCACATGACAATTATTATTTAAACACTGCAGCAAAGTCAGTTAAAGACCCAATTTATACTTGTTGTATCAACCAATTAAGCTCTTCCTGAACTATACCATTTCAGTTTCTCTGTGCGTATAAAGAGGGAGTTTAATTTCTCTCCTCTGAACAAAAATACTTTCAAAGTAACACTGGAAAACTCAAAAAGAGAGCTTCAGTCCAGCCCCACATGCTGTTTTCCAAGATGCAGGGCTATTTTTCAGATAAACAGCATTCCTGCCTGAAATGCTACAGTCAAGGAGAGTTTTAGAACTTTTTCCCCCTGCAGCATTTATAATCTGGAGCCAAGCTTACAGCAGTGAAAGTTTTCCTTATTTCTCCTAGCTACAAAAGTATCTTACCCAGGACATTTTTCAGTTACAATTATTATTACTTAAAATGTTGTTTGTTTGTCCTTATTTTAATTTTATACATATTATGTTTATTGTTTTGAATTTGTTCATGCCTAGTATGTAAACCGTCTAGAGTGGCCTGGCAGCCAAATAAATTAATAAATAAAAATGATACCTCCACAAGTCACTGACCAATATTAGCCACTTTATCAGGAGGTATTGCCTGCAAATTATTACTATTGCCTGCAAATTGTTGCATTGTAAGTCATTTTCTTCCCAGCCCGTTTGTTGCCTTCCCGTGTGGACTATTAAACAGCTGGTCCCATCGGGAGTAAACCGTTCAGGTGAGGTAAAAGGGAGGTCGATGTCACTACTGTAAATCCTTTCATAAATTTGCTAGCCCACGATTGACCCAACACAGTCGTGACACAACACAGCAAAAACAAAACAAACCAACATTAAAAAAAAGGCAAACACACTTGCAAGCCGGGTGCAGAAATAACACACCTGATAGGTACAGGCAAGCACACGTGTGTGCCTATGTAGGCATTCATGCATGTATGCATAAAGGAAATGTTTACAAATGCCATCATCCTAAAGCTGCTCAAGCTGCCCGCCCCCACGAAGGTCAAAAGGACTTGCTTCTGAGGAGACGCATTGAGGGTTTGGATTCCCCCTTCCCGTCCCCAAACTCTGCCCCCACAAGAAAGAGGGAAAGGGGTCTTTTCTCCCGCCTTTGCCCCCTCAGGAACGCACCGTCAAAATGAGGCCCCGCCGCCTCCGCCTCCTCAGGGAACGGGAGAGCCGGCGGAGGCAGCGCGGCCTCGGCTTGCCTCAGTCGCGGAGGCCCCGCTGCGTCCGCCTTTCCCCGCCAGGAGGCCGCCATCGTCCTTTGCTCCCTCAGAAAGCGGACTCGCTCGGAGCTAAAGCAGGCGGGAAAAAAGAAAAAAGGGGGCGGGCCGGCCCTCTCCTGTTGAGAAGCCGGCCAGGCCCGAGCCTGGTCGTGAGGAGAAAAGGCTGGCCCAGCGGCGCCCCCTGGCTCTCTCCGGGACCGAGGAAGGAGAGAGAGGCTCAAACGCCTCAGTTCCTTCCCGCCTTCATGCTTCGGAATCGATCCCTGGCACTGAGGGGCGCCCGCTTTCTCCTCACGATTTAATTCGGAAGGGAAGTCGGGGGGGTCGCTGCGTTTAAACAGGCCTTAGCGACCCCCTGCCCACCCACCCATGGTCACCCTTCTTCTCTTTTTTCCCCTTCAAGATCCCTGGCACTGAGGGGCGCCCGCTTTCTCCTCACGATTTAATTCGGAAGGAAAGTCGGGGGGTCGCTGCTTTTAAACAGGCCTTAGCAACCCCCTGCCCACCCACTCATGGCCACCCTTCTTCTCTTTTTTCCCCTTCAAGACATGAAAAGAGAAATGTTGTTTCCCTCATCCCAGCATCTAGCAAAAAGCGTCCCTCTTTCTAAGTAGCAAAGACAGAGAGGGTTTCTCTGGGCCACCCTGAGGCATTCACTGGTCGCCCTTCAGACCCAAAGTGGGGAGGTGTCATGAGAAAGCCCCCCCCCCGCCAAGTTGTTCGTTATTGACTTTATCATTACTAACATTTATTTTTTATATATATACCCCCTCTCTGGCAAATGGCTGCTTTGGGCAGGGTACAACAAGAATTAAAAACGATATTCAGATAAAACATAGATTTAAAAATGAACTACTACAAACGAATGACCTCATTACAAATTTTACACACACACACACACACATTTGATAGATAGATAGATAGATAGATAGATAGATAGATAGATAGATAGATAGATAGATAGATAGATAGATAGATAGATAGATAGATAGATAGATAGATAGATAGATTGATTGATTGATATAGATAGATAGATAGATAGATAGATAGATAGACAGACAGACAGACAGACAGACAGACAGACAGACACAGAGAGGAGAGAGAGAAGAGAGAGGTGTAAAATGTGTATACACACACACACACATACACTTTTTAATTTTTACTGCCAGGAAGAGAGAGAGAGGTAGCTGTGGGATTAGTCCCCCTCATGTGTCCTGATTTGAATGGCTTTGAGTGCTATTTACCTTGACTTGAGGGCATGTTTTCTCATCCTGGGGCACTCCTGGCATTTAGAATCATCCCCCTGTTCTTTTTCAATGGCTGACATCATCACAAGTATGTTTTGGGACAGAACCATGCATTTTTGCTATGGGAGGCAGAATCTGGACCCTCATCATTTTCCAAAGTCTCCCGAGAAATTAGGAGCATGTGTAAAATTTGCACCCAAGCAGGCACCACTCAAATACAGTGTACAGTATCTGGTTTCGTATCTTAAAATAATAAATTTAGGATTTGGTATGAGCCCTCTTCCCTGGCCTCTTGGGGAGTGCCCTGCCTGCATCAATAAGGCATCAGCAAGGGTGCCAAAAGCCTAATTATGTACATGAGGTAGAAAGTAAGCAGGTGTCCTCATTCCTGGCAGTAAAACTACAATCCAAATAAGTAGCTTAAGAATTTCATGGCCATTTTTATATCACTCCATATCTACTGCTTCGCTACCCAATATGGGGAGGTTGATCCTGCTTTCAAATACTTTTTCTCCCAAACCAGAATAATCAGATTTTGCCTCCTTTACAACCATTGACCAGCTAGTTTTCTATCATGCCATACAAGAGGCTCAGCTGAAAGACCTCTACATGGCTGGCTTGTTCTCTGTACTTTTTGCATTCTGACTCATCATGGTGAGAGGTTCAAAAACGGCTCATTGGACTACAGGCAATCATTGCACAACTATAGTGTAAGGAGGAAGCAAATCAGCATTCCTTAAGGAAAAAGCAAAACTCAAGGAAGAAGCAAAACCCGACATTCCTTAGAGATAAGCTGTTGTGCACATGAGTTAACTGCTTTGCTGAAATGCAATAAATTGTAACCAGTCAATATATTCTTCAAGGCCCAATCAACTACTGCATACTTTTGTTATTTTTTTGAACTGTATAAAAATTTGAACCCTGTCCCCACCCTCCTGGGCAACCAAGTGCACTCTTGGTTTACCTGAATAAACCTGTTGCTCTTTCCTCCAATAAACTATCCACTTATTATTGCTTTAGAATTGGCTTAATAGAAATAGCCAAGATACTGAGCTCCGGGAGTAACAATAGCAGGTCATTATAAGAAGGTAAAATACTCTCCCTTGGTGCCTTCTCCCTACTATACTTTCCCCCTTTCATTACATGCCTTTTTACAGTCTAAGCCTTAGGGCAAGGACTGTCCTGATATTAATCTAAAATCATGCTCTGATAGCCTTCCCAGGTTAAGAATAGAATAAATGCATTAGTTAATGGTCTTTTATCAACAAATATTTATTTAGCACCATCAGTGTGCATGGTTTGTTTTTATTGCAGAAATAAGCAATCTGCAGCCTTAAGGCAGCATTTTGCCTGAGTTCAGAAGACCTTCAGTACAATTTCAAAAGCCTTCTGCAGAAGACCAGTTCAAGTCTCTGCATCTGCCACTTGCCCCAACAAACTGCATTTGCCTCTGGCCCCATCTACTGTTGGCTTCATCCCCATTCTTAGGTTGCATGGAGTCTCTTACAGACTCGTCCTAGAAAAACATGTCCCTCAAGAGGAAAATAAATGTTTGCTCATTTTATGAAGCTCAAGAGCATTCACTACTCTAATCCCTACCCCCATCTCATGTAGCACATTTTTAGTCAAACACCTGTATTGGTTTACTCTGCATTGCAATTGCTTCTGAATGTGTAAAAAGAAAGTTCCCTCCTTGATTAAGACATATAAAGCAGGAATTTCATGGTCCAACAATATGATTTTATTTTTCCTTATAAAGGTAGGGTAAGGTAAGGGGCAGCCGGGATGGGGTATCCTTGGAGGGGGGTGGATTTGAACGGATACATTACAAATCAATATTTTTCATAGTAATTCTATACATTCTCTTCTAGTAATAGTTCCACATATCATAAAGAAATATAAACAGTGATCAAGAGCAGAAAATCAAATTCAGACAGATATATTATTATTCTAATTATTGATTATGTAGCTGATTGTCTTTATCCATTATTTATTCTGTGTCTTCTGCAGCCATATAGATAACTATGTATCAGTCCACTATTCTATCTACCTTGTAACCATGTGTATATAATTGTGACCATATTTTCCGATGGTCTTTTTTCTTTTTTGCATCTAGCCAATATGATAGTATCTATCACTTCATCTATTTGCGATGTTCTAGGTTCTTTTCAATGTTTTGCAAAAACTATTCTTGCTGCTGTTATAATATGAATAGTTAAATATGATTTTTCAGAGTCTAATATATCTTTTATAATATATATATGTATTACAGGTCCTGGTAAGTGAATATTATAGCTCATAGCTTGCATTTCTTTTCAAAATCTGTTATAAAAATTCAGTATGGATACTCCTGCTCGCCTTTATGTTTTTGCTCAATGTAGTTTTCTCTGACTTTCTAGAGAAGCTTTTTGTCCCTTGTCAGAACCTTTCTGCTTTCAAAAAATATTCCTGCTGAGTACTATTTTTAAATTCTTGGAAGTGCTATGATTTAGAAGAGCTGAATTTCTCTGTATCCACCAACTATCATTCCACAGCTGAAAAACTTTGACCATTTCCCCCCCTCTCAGTGAGGCACTTGTGGAGTAGTCACATCATTTGGGGCCAGCGACAGAGCTTCTTCAGCCTGTGATCCTTTATCTGTGCTAGTCATCTGCAACACAGCAGGTCTCCAACTTCCCCATGACCATATATACTTTGGCAAGAACCTGTTGAGTAAATGCGCACATTTCTCTTTCAAAGTTCGGAAGCCATTGCAACCAAAAAGATGTACCTTGTTGATGGGGGGGGGGGTAAGGGGAAGTGTTGATCTGTGTCTTCTTTTGCATGATTGCATTCTACAAGTAAGGATGATCCGATTTAATATTTAAAAAACTGTTCTGGACGCTTTCCCTCCAGTTGGTGGCTGTTGCAATGACAGCATTAGAAGACAGTAGCACTAAGATGTCACTATGGCAACTAAATTTGTAAAACAATTACAGCAAAAGCAGGCAGAGTTGTTAACTAACACTTTTGGCACCTGGGGTTTCACTGCCATATTGGTTAGGTTTGGGACACATCAGATTGGCGTATGCAGGGAGAAAAATGAAAGATTACAGGGAATGTGTGATGCCCTGAGTATGCAATAGCACTGAGCCTGTTTTGGTTTGGTATAGTTTTTTTTCCCTTCTGCCTGGGGAGGAGATCCTGGAACTACCCTGTTTTTCTGAAAATTAGACCTAACCTGGAAAAAGACCTAGTAGGATTTTTCAGGATGCTCGTAATATAAGCCCTACCCCCAAAATAAGCCCCAGTTAAGTTAAACCCCACCCTCCACCATTGTGCAGCAACCAGATGACATGACCATATTTGAATAAACGTAGATCGTTGTACTTGAAAAAAAATAAAACATCCCCTGAAAATAAGCCCTAATGTGTATTTTGGAGCAAAAATTAATATAAGGCCCTGTCTTATTTTCAGGGAAACACGGCAATCTACATGCTTGGGATGGGCAGATTCAGGGCCTTCCATCTGCAGATACCAATAAGCAAGTTTGTGCCATTCTAGCAGCAACTTTTTGTGTCCCCTAAATTTTGGTTGTAACCAGTGGCATTGATAGAGTGGTGGATTAGGATTTGGAAGGCCTGTTTTAGGATCCCTCTTCAGCCATAGAAGCTGGTTAGGCAGAGAAGTGGAACAGATAAAACCACCCCTTAAAGCTACTTACAGTACCTTGAAAACCCTATTAGGGTCATTATTAGTTGGTTCCAACTTGATGGTAACATAACAAATGTTGGTACCCTGAGTCAAAGCCTCTAACAGCTCTGGGCAGACTTCATACCTACTGGATCTACTTTGATTTTCACTAGAATCCAAGACCCACTAACTGAAACATGGTGCAAAAGACATACACTTAGAATGAAAGAATTTGGAGCCCAGGAATTTATTTTTAATAGAAGATGATTGGACTTCATACAAAATTCCACCCTTATTTACTTATTTTGATTTCATAATTATTTAGCAATACTTAGGGCTGCCTGGCTGGGTGC